AACAAAACACACGCAGCGACGCACGAGGCTACTCGATGGACTATGCTAACGAACTCAACTTTGCTAATAAGACTCAGTTAACTCTGCTCCCGGGGCAGAGTTGCAGGCAGATTCCAACATCGCCCCGCAGTTACCAGCGCACTCAGACGTTTCTGTGAAGGACAACATTTCGTCGTTGTCTGTAGCGTGTTTGTCATCGATGCGCTTCGCTAACTGCGATGTTCAACCTCACATAAACTTACAATTTATTCGGCCTTAGTAGATATTAAAACCAGTTTACTACAAGCACCCTGGGGATATTAATACGATGATAATTCCTGCTGCTATCAACAATTAGGACCTCTGTCCAGCTGCACTTGGGTGACGGCGCAACGCACCTGCATTCAATTTTTTTCACCGCTCAAACACTGTTTGCTCCTGAATAAATCGATGCCAATGTTTAACGCCGCTGTTGTCCATAAGCTGCGTAAACGGTTACTTGATTAGCCACTAGGCGACTGGCCAAAGGATGCGGTTTATATTGGATTCGTTGTCCCAGCATTTATATTGTTTATGTGATTAGATTCATGGTGATGCCGTTGGTTCTGCGATTGATGCTAAACAATAAAGGCCAGTCATCAGTTTCGTGGCGCCCCGGTCGAGTTCCCCTCGACGCTGAACGGGCGAACCGTTCAGCGACGTGTCGACGCAGTGTTCCCGTATCGTGTAGAGCGCCGTCTACGAGCATCCGCTCCACTGTCCGCTGCCACTGGCCATAACGAGCTGGCAGTAGGGCTGAACACACATCCGGCAGAACAGCTAGTGCTATAGTAACTACTGGAGCGCGACAAAGCACACGGTTCTCTCTTCCTCTCCACTACGTTTTTTCCTTCTTCCCCAAATCGTACTTGCGGCACACTAAACCCGAAACGAACGTCGCTGAAATGAGAAAGAGGGATACATTGAGGGAGAGAAAGAAGATCTGGCGGACAAAGCGGACCGAACCTACGGCAGACCGTATGGCCGACGCTGACTATGGCGACTCACGCGTACTTCAACCTGCTACATTTCATCATGCCATACCACTGGTGCTATCAGCGCTGTTACCACAGCCGGCTTTATGAGCTTCTCCTTTACGTTCATTTCATAGCAGCTGATCTTCCGATCGACGTGTATGTGTGTATGTTTATAAAAAAAGTATAGACAGAGGGTCGGACACAGCATCCGCCTTAACCAACTTCACCATCAGGGAGATCCAACAGGCCAAAGAGAACGGTGGGCAGCCACCTCAATACTTCACGATGTCAGCAGTCAGTCTCTGGGCCGCTGGCAAAACCGGAAAACGAAAAGAGGGAGCGAGGCAGACATTTTTCACAGTAAAGGCAGACCCCTGTGAATAGACTACTCACATACGCGCACGATGCTAATGGAAGCGTGCAGTTGTGACCTGACGAACAAACAAGATGGCGTTGCGCTGTGGGAGCGCTGCTGTCACAAATACATAATAGCCCGGCCAAGTGGCAGTGTCGTCTCAGACCAGAATGGTATGGCTGCGCCTGGCAGAGTCGATGGACCGACAGTCCCGTGCTTGGTTAGAGTTGGTAGCTCGCAGTTCGGCCAGAAACCCAGCGGTCAGGCTACGTTAACTCCTCTAACGACTTTTGGCTTATCGTTGTCGACAACGTGAAGAGTGCAACGTGTCGAGCCGAGGGCCGATCCAGCGAAGCTTCAACGGAGCCAGGAGTGGTAAGCAAGAAAGCGGCTTCCACTACCTCCACTTTTCGCTTGTGGTTCGCTATTGTACAAAATGTATCCTATGAGTTTTAAGAAAAATCGTATATATATATATATATATATGTATATATATATATATATATAGTTATAGGAACCATAGTTAGGACAGCATAGTTTTGTCAGTGAAGCCGATGAACATCTGCTTGCTGCCAAATTTAGGATCATTTAAATTAACATGGTGTTCGTAAGTGGACGTCGTCAGTACTCACAACTGGTACTGACCGTAAGGCTAGAGATATCTATTCAGGTCAACAGCTCCAAGAGGCATCGTCGCCGGGTGAGGGACACACGAAGCGTCTGCATCTGTACTAGCAGCAGTAACAAAAACGGCACCTGGCGTTGCGAACGTGCTGCCTCTATTGCACCAAATCGAGACACAATATTAATTAAAAGAAAGTACATGCCGGCCAGCTGGCTAGCGTTGACTGGCTTTCGATGAATGGCTGGCGAGCGACCGCAAGCCGCTGGATCGGCGACGTGTGTCGAATACAGCGCGAGACAAATCAGTAGCTTAGCCCAGGTTGCCAAAAGCACCTAGCAAATATAGGTGGCGTTGCCTTACAAAAACAGATTGACAACGGTACAAGCGATCGGCGAGCTGCGTTGACATGGCCTACCAGTGGAACATAGGCCTCTGCCTTGCTAACTGCTGAGCGCTCGCGTACTGAGTCGACTATTTCCTACGTGTCTAGTTGTCGCTATACTTTTGCTTTTCAACGCGCTACGAATCGCGCGACACACAGCTAGTGTGCTTGCTGCTCGTGATAGCAGCTGGTGGCACTACACTGTATAATTTTTCCTTTGGCTATATTAACTATTTCGAGTGTAGGGTTCGGAATTGGGTCGGCATTATATTCAATGGCTAGCCTCGTCCAGTGCGAAGCAACGGTATTTGTTCCATAAATCAAATCCAGGATTTATCGCTAAGTTTAGCAAACAGGAGCCGCATGATTGAGCCTGTTCTATGACTCCACTCTTCTGCATCCAAACGTAGAACAGCTCTCCTGGACAGTGGACCCGATTTCTCTCGAGTCGATTCTCGGGAACGAATGCCGTTGGCCGCCTCAACAGTGGCGGACTGATATTGGCAATAACAGCTGGTTGTGGGACGGCGCGGTTTTGACCACCAGGGCTTCGTTAATAGTATTCTACTGTCCTATCTTATACTTTCATCGCTCTTTTGCTGTTGACGTTATGCCGTGTTTTTTCTCCACATAGCTGACAAAAAACCTAAACAGCAAAGCCATTTCGCAGGAAGGGATTATCATACATTTAAAAAAAGCTAGCTAAACGTCTTGTATATTCAAGGGGTATGCAAGTAAATAGAAATGACGCCAAAGCGTCCGATCATGCCTTAATTTTGTGATCTGATACGCCATACAATATGTCGTATTTATAGACATATCGTTAACATTATGCATGCATTTATTTGATGCACGCTTCGTTCACCCGTGAACTTTACGTCGCCAGAAAAGCAAATCACAATGTGAGACCTATACCGGCAACAAGGTGCCGAAAAAAGTTCAACGATTTGTTAGCGTTATATCTTAAAGATCTTCGTTACTATGAACGAGAAGTATAGCATGATACGCCTAAATACGAAAAATGCGTTTATCAAAAATGATAAGTCTCAATATACACAAAATTAAGGCATTTCGATCATTCTACCTAATGCAACACTCGTATCCACTCTATGCTAAGTGTTGATGTGGGTTAATCAGTTAGTTAATAATGATTTTGTTGTGGAATCGACATGCGCTACAGCGATAGCCCAAGTATTCCTTAGAAGCGGCAGTCAGTATTCGAACGTGTTGAATCGACAACAAATAACGTCATGGCTTCGATTAATGTTTTGTTCATTATGCAGTTTGGTCAAGCTGACCGATGTCGTTCGAACACAGGAGCCTACAATACCCCATGAAATTCGATGAATCAATCAACACGTCTTACTCTGTGTTAGATGTATATATATAGTTGCGACACCAACCGCTAAAATACTTAGTCCTAGGTATTTTCACTAGCATCACTATTTAAGGGCGTGTAAAGTGGTAAGTAACAAAGGCATCGTCGCTGCAACTGGTGGTAGCGAGTCCTCGGAGCTAAGTTGACGGGTAACTACTCAAGTCGAGGACGGACGAAATGCTCGACTGAATTATAAAGCTATGGTCTACGGTGGAACATTGTATAGATGGCGTGAAGGATGCCGTATCGCTGCGGAAGCTAACGTTTCTTGACTACTTGAGATTTAAATAATGTATCCGGGCTAACGACATAAATGCTTATTCGGGCTTGCTCATGCATATTTTTTCTTGGTCGAAGTCAGTACTAGTAAAATTCGCTGCAAGCAATAAAGCGACGTGGAATGAGTTCAAGACACGTCTATTTTAGCGATTTCCGCAACATGACCTACCTCACGCCGAATGATATTATGAGCGAGTTCAGGGGATTATGAACGCCTGTACGTGTTTGCCCAACGTAAACGGTTCCTGCTGCAGAGCACCTGGTCGCTGCTTCGAATTTTGAGACGTTCCTAGAAAACGTTACGGAATCGTGTTGGTGTGACGACTTCAAAGGCCATCTTATTGTAGTGTCCTCGCTTGACTTCGCGACTTTTGTAAAACTTGGATGTACCGATGTGTACTTAAACCCGAAACGTCGGCGTACGCGCTAGATACAACTTCCGCTATGTGCTGTGATGTGTGCAGTACGAGTTCTAAGTTAGGCATCGCGGTGCTGCCAAGTGGCAGATTCTATGCACTATGATACGGGAGGAAAAATGCGATTCGGATGCGAAGCTCCTGTTTGTGCTCACGATCGAGTTGAAGGCTTCGAGGTGGCTGATATCCGGAGGGTGAAACTGACAAATTTTTCATCTGAGCGAAAGATGAAAAGTAGAGGTTCCGGGATATATAGTCGACAAAAACACCAACGTGCTTTTGTTTCGAATCACAGCTTTAGTGCGATTCCGGGCTAATCAAAGCTGTGTTCTGCCCTGTCATTCTGAAAAGGCCTGTGGACATGTAGGCATTAAAAATACTATACAGCGTATACTTAAGGGCTTTCATACTGGCCTTGGACTACACAGATACATTGCGTTGGAGGAATTGAGCAAAAATGTTGGAAATAGTCGGACAACATTCCTGCAACTCTAGATGGTTGGGTATTATGTGCTATGTATGCCTAAGGAGTTGGTATCGTTAAAGGAAGGTTAGTAAAAAAAAAAACGTTATGGTTTGGACACGTACGTAGCGCACCGGACAGGGGTTTACGACATGTATTAATAGTGCATTTAGTTCTTGTATGCTGAACTTGACACCATGCCCGGATTAAATCCTCGTGCTGTTTAATGCTTCAAAAATTAACATACATTTTAACCCTGGCCTTTGAATCACTTCCGACTCCCGATATTCTTCGAATACGATGTACACAAAAACTGAGTCCTGTATTCAAACTACTTATAACTTTCGGTGTTTCTCGAATACACTACATACAAAAAAATACCAGCCGATACTTCTTCAGGATGATTTGCACGACTACCAGAAATGTCATATAGACCTTTAGCTCTAAGTAAATAGAAAACTTAGACGAAACAAGATTTTATCTATTTTAGCCGTTTTACTGAAAGCAAGTGCTTTCCCAAAATAGAAAGTGTTTTGACAACCAGCTCGTCGATTGATAGTCTTCGAAGATCATTAAGGAAAATAAATAGCGTATAGTCGATCGCATTTTATAAACAACTCGTGCTTGATTTTCTGTACTCCATTGATTGCAATCGTAACACAGCATCTGTAAGTATAAAGACTTCATTTATTCACATAGGTTGTGTACTATATGTTTGAATCTGAGCATTAGCGTTCGTAATTAATTGTAGATTTTTTGTACGACGAAATGTGCGATTACGCAAAGCTTCTCAAGTACTAGTACCTCGTACTCCAGTAGTGTTTGTTTCCCGCACTAGTCTGCATATTTTTGGCTACTTGTTAAACAAAGTAAACGTAACTTTAGTCAGCTAATAAGCATATCCATAGTATGACTACCATTACCTTTCAAAGACCCTGTGGCTAATATCATCCCAATGACATCTGAAACTTTGTCCCAAATGAACCGCCAAAGATCTTCTGCAAATAACCTCGGACCTGATCGACGCTGTTCCGCCGATTTGTTTAATCCACGGACCCCGACAACCCTAGGCGTTTAGTTATTATCGTCAAAAGGCGCGTGTGGTTACGACGACAATCTCAACAAATGAATTAAGGAAAACGGTGGTGAACTGTGATAATTGTAAAAACACGTTTGTCGATGTTCTGTATTACCGAACTGGAATTCGTTACTAGGTTCTTTCGGAAGGGTATTTTACGACATTATCTTTGTATATAATTTCTTCGCCCACATCGCTCAACAGTCGTGTGACGCTCAGGACAATGGCTGATGTTCAAAAGCACTCGGTACACACGCTTGTGTTCCGTTCGTTGAAACGTAGTCATGACATGTTCATATGTGAGGAGGGCGCCTTGCCCCCTATTGATGAGAAAGCGCACAAATTGCGTGTGGGAACTAAAGGCAGAGACGAGTACGGGCCAGTGATGCATCTCGTCAGTGAGGGTTCCCGTCAAAGATCGGTTAGCTCTACGACCAATAGCGGTGCTCACAACAAATCAGACGCTGGAAGCAGCGATAACTCCTCTGGGCCTTTGGTTCTCGCCGGACAAGGCAATATTGGGAACCAGCAACAACTGACTGCTCAGATGTTGAAAAAACCTTCGATTCCGAAGCCTACATGGCACCCTCCATGGAAGCTGTATCGTGTTATCTCCGGGCACACTGGCTGGGTGCGCTGCGTAGCATTCGATCCAACTAACGAATGGTTCTGCACCGGTTCCAACGACCGTATCATCAAGATCTGGGACCTGGCCAGTGGGAAACTTAAGCTATCCTTAACAGGACACATTTCGGGCGTACGCGGACTTGCTGTCAGTCAACACCACCCATACTTGTTTAGTTGTGGCGAAGACAAACAGGTACATACTCTGTTTCGAGACATTAACAAAAAACAACGAAGCGTACCAAAAATGGATAAGAGACAGGCGTAGCTTGTGAATTAATTTGTGAAAGTAAAGTGAAAAAATGCAATACTGGGGTAATGTAAAAATTTATGTAAAGTGTCCCATACTCGATTTTTTTCCGAAATGTTTAACGTGAAGAATATTTCTATTCACACTAATGCAAAATTTTGAATATCAGGATACATTAATTGCGGGATCGAATGGGTTATCATTGATTGGCACTGTTAATGGTTCCTTCATATTCAGGAATTTTCATTTGTTTCAAGTGCAAAGTAAATTTTTTAAGTGATCGATAGATACTTTGTTGTTCGCCTTTATTTTATGTGACAATTTGTACTAAAATATTGGTAAAGTATTATTTTCGTTATTGCTAAAAAGCCCTTAATGCTATGTTAAACGTAATGTGATCATTTCGTTTTTATTCCTCAGCTATGTAAGCTACATATACTTCTGAAAATCAATATCGATACCTCTCTGTAAATATTGTTTGAAAGAAGTTTATAGAAGTACCACTTCCCATATACGGCTATTTTAGGAAATTTCGAGCTTCATCCAGTTTCGTGACCAACCAGCTCGCGCAGTACTTACGGAAAATGCATATTCTTAGATCATCCAGTTTCGTGGTCAACCAGCTCGCGCGGTACTTACGGAAAATGCATATTCTTAGATTTTTTATTTATGGGTGGCGAGTATTAACAGAGCTAGCGTCCATCCAAGATCATACGTATTACCTGTATTTAATTTATTTTTCATTTGTGTATCTATATTTGTTTTTTTTTTGCATAGGTGAAATGTTGGGATCTTGAGCAAAACAAAGTTATAAGGCACTACCATGGCCATCTCTCAGGCGTGTATACGATTGGCTTACATCCGACTATTGACAATGTGATCATCACTGGTGGACGGGATTCGACTGCTCGTGTATGGGACATGCGGACAAAGGCCAATATTCATGTCCTATCCGGACACACAAATACGGTGGCCAGTGTCCTTGTTCAGGCCACTGAACCGCAAGTTGTGTCAGGGAGTCACGACTCAACAATACGGCTTTGGGACATCGTTGCAGGTAAAACCCGCGTAACGCTAACACACCATAAAAAATCCGTTCGTGCGCTTGTACTTCATCCGAAGTTGAACATGTTCGCTTCTGGAGCGCCAGACAACATCAAGCAATGGATGTGTCCGGATGGGAAATTCATTCAGAATCTAAGTGGGCATAATACGATTGTCAATTGCCTAGCAATGAACGAGGACGGTGTTCTTGTGTCAGGAGGTGATAACGGCTCGCTTCAATTTTGGGACTGGAAAACGGGTTACAACTTCCAGAAACTAACAACTCCAGTACAGCCAGGTTCGATCGATAGTGAAGCTGGAATTTTTGCTATGAGCTTTGACCTGTCAGGAACACGGCTAGTAACCTGCGAGGCGGATAAGACAATCAAGATCTTTAAGGAAGATGAGACCGCCACCGAGGAAACGCATCCGATCAACTGGCGACCTGAGATTATCCGACGAAAAAAATTCTAAAACCAAAGTCAATGTCTTCCGGCTTATGCCGCCCAAAGTATAAAAATACACTGTATATCGTGATTGACCCACAGCACTTTTGAATACAGCTCAATTAGGCCAGGATCAGCTGGCATATATGTAACAAATGTATATTATGAAACTAAGGTAAATATAAACTATACGATATATAGTTAATTGTAAACATATCAAGATGTTGTTTTAATTTATATAAATAATTTATCGCTAGAAAATCTAGTTCAGGAATTCCCTGCGACACTTTTTATTACAAAGTAAATAGAAAACATCCGTCAAATAATAGTAGTGTGATTTGGTAAGCCATCACCCATCTCCTGGAAAACTATCGGTGTCTTCACTGAAATCAACAATAAACAAGAAAACTTTTTGTTATATACACCAAAGATGATATGATGTTCCACGACCGAAGGTAACAAGATCTGTCAGGTTGCTAGCTCAATATATTTTGTTGAAACTATCTGTTTATCCGATGCAAAAGTTCGTATTGCGCATTTGACAGTAATGCGTAGAACGCTATGTGAATAATCTCGAAATATCCTATAAATAGTTGTTGTTAATGGCATTGTTCCAATGAATATGGACACGTTTTAGTACTTTTCTTTTTATATAAATGATCTCTTGCGTATATTCGCTCTTCATATTTGAATCAGATCGAGCAAACATTATTGTAAGGTGAATCTGAGGTTTTTATGGCGTAACGTCATAAAAACGCTAAAAATACGTTCCGGTATGCAGTGAAGATTGCCACGATTTAGGTATGTCTGAAAAGTCAATAATTTCTTGGTCAGAGCCAGAGTGATTTGGCCATTAACGCTAAGCAAAGAAGTTAGAAACACGCAATGCGCTCACCAAATTATCTTTCACTTGCTTCACCTGCAAATAGTGCTCATGTGTGGGATCTTGCCTATCGCGAAGATACCTGTCGACGTAAACGAGTCCATGAGAGCCACTTGATGAGTAGTTGTCGAGAAACGGTTTCTGTAAGAGCTTCTCCTGAAAGTCTATGAGGAAATATACCCATGGAGTCAGGATCGAACCGTCTGAGATCTCGACTGGTTCTTGCTGTCGAACATAGTAACTAAGAGAACATAACACAAACGGATAAGTGACCGTTTAAACGGCAAGTACAGGGTGAACCTGAAAGAAACCCTCGGCATACTTTATTTTCGGGTGTTTACAGATAATGAATTGTATAAGTAAATTAAATTGAAATTATATCAACACTACGTAGCTTGCGTATAGGGTAAACCATGAATAACTTCATTCTACTAAGACGTAATGTCGTAATAACAGGTATTAACAACAGTATTATTTTTATTTATCGTAGATATTGTAACCTTTGTACATTTATTTTTCATTTGGTAAAAATAAATGTATAAATGTTAAGCGATCATTTAAGAGCAAACATCTTTGCAGAATGCAGTCATATGTGATACATAATTTTTAAGGCGAAGAATAGTTTTTAAGCCATAAAGAAGTTCCCGGACATTGTTTGTAAATATATGCTATATATTCCCAGCGATCTTACAAAGTGACCTTCAAGATCTTAAATTGAGCACACTCGTGGACCTTTAATATCGGCGTGCCCTTATATTTAAAATATAAGCGCGACAAAAATGTGTCTACAAAATCTGAAATAGACTCGAATTGTGCGACCTCTATATTTGCTTTTGTTGCTCTCGTATGATTTTATTTCCATCATAGTCAATTAGAATTACTGACATACGCCATAACGTATGTAACGTTTTTTTACTCACATGTAGTATTTGCCCTTCGTTGGCTAAATTTATTATAGGCCTTCGCAATTCATATGAAATATCGCAAATAGAAATTCAATTTTTATTTATACGAAATTAATATATAAATTGAAAATTTGTTTTTTCTTTTTTTTTTTTTGGTATTTGACGTTGTAGCCCATTTTTGTTTGTTCAACTGTATTTTTAAGTCTTTTAATGTGGTTGGTTTTTGGAGTAGACTTTGTTTGCAAGGTATCCTAACATTTAAATGTCTATTGGCATCAGGCCTGCGCAACGGCCAAGGTATTTTATGGGATCTTTCCGCTCAACCCGTATGAAGATATATTCTTACATCACGATGATAGTGTGTAGCTGCTTGGAAATAAAATTCTTCATCTTCACCAAAGTCCTCCCAAATACGGTAAAACGAGTGTGATAAAACGGATTCTTAGAGTAAATTCAAGTAATTGGAACCGGTGTATAGATTTTTTTGGGACACCCTGTATATGAGGCGGTCGATTGATCGGCTTCTGGTCATAAAAGAGTAGGAGATTGCCGCCTTAAGTCCTACAAACTACGCATGCTACATACTCAGCAGAGTGAATAAGGAAAGTATGTACATATATTTATAATCTTGATTTTAATGAACAAATACTTGAATTTTACTTTGGGGATTTCCAGTTTATGCGGCAACCCTGCAATCGGGAATAAAGACTATGACTCTGTGCACACTGAGTCCCATCGAAATCAAAGGTTTAGAGAAACCAGACGCAGCCATTAAGCTATCCACTTACTTTGGGTGATTTTCGAGGTCGTCAAGTGCCGTGAGCATATCATCGTTAACACTGTAGACTTCACCATGTATCCGATGACCAGTGCCGGGCTTGTATAGGAGATAGGGAATATTGAATGAAGAGGCGATTACTAATGGAAATTGATGAACTGTGCGACCGTTGCTAACGAATTTAGCAACTTTATTGTTCTTGGTTGTAATGACGTGATGACTGGGTTCGCCTTTTTTCAGTGTTCCATACACAAACACCCAGTGCGTCATTGCTGCTCGTCGAAGCCCACTTAGGATCATGCGCGTTTCATATACTACAATAAGGATTAGTTATCCGCCTTTATAAAGATGATCTAAAACAATACAGTTGTTTGTTGTTCGAATTGTGGAATCGAGCTAGAGCAGAATTCTTTGAAAAGGATGATCACGAACGACGGTATCTCGTGACACACACAAATCCAAACTGTAGCCGATAATCATGGGCAACGATGTTTCCGTTCGCTGTTGGGAACCGGCGGCCATATGCGAGAATGCAGTGGGCGAGAGTTATAAACAGAGGGTTATCAAAGAGAGACGTGTCGCGTTCGGCAAACCGAGAGGAAATGCGCTGTCCGTAGTCAATGTGAGTGAACAAAGATAATGTTGACAATACAAATGTCAATCGATCAATTTAATTTATTCACATATGTCAGGCAGCATCTAAGCACTTATGATACGTACATTTATAACAATTTTCAATCTGTATATAGATGGGTATAACGGCAATGGTGCCTTGTAAGCACGAATGTAATTAGTTCGTTGCACATGGTAAGAGCATTTTTCAACAAGTGTCGATCCAGAACTTGGAGCAGAGGGAAACGTGGATTTAGTAGAACTGCGGTTGAAAATGCCGGCTGAAGCCACGTAGTATGGAATCCGCTCAATCATAGAGACCGAATAAAGGTTTTCAAAAATAAACAGCCGCATAGACCTCCAAACAGAATAAAACTGCGCACATGGGCACACGTTCACGTAATGACTTATTTGTCGAAACCGTCACTTTTAATGGAATTGTTGTTAGCATATGAAATCTCTATATTTTAAGCTCCCTTAGAACTAAACAACTTTGCTTAAAAATAGTCATGGCCATTTCGTGATAGAATTCCATGTCTGATGTTACCGTGTCGGACCATACTGTCTTATTTAAGGTATATAATATTTTCGTTCTTAGGAGAGGTTTACAAATTAGTTACAAAAAGTTTTATTTGTTCATTTCAGGCGAATTCTCTGAATAGCTCGGTTTAGTGACTAGTAGAAGACACTGGCATCAACGGTACTATTTAAATATATGTGCTAAATAAATTGAGTTGAACTACCGGTTCGTGTACCCACTGTATGGTTACTTCATCAAGTTCTTAATTTAAAAATAAGTTGCATGTAAAACTTGCATTAGCTGGAAGGCAATCACAGCACCAACCCGCTTAGGCAAGTTCTCAACGAGGTCCTCCAGCATCTTTGCTATATCATGTCTACCCCGGAAGCCTAGTTAAACGTTATGAAATAAAGTGTATTGTGTTCTACTATCACGATATCGAAGAAGTTACCTATTTACTTGAATGTCGCTTCAAATTTTACTCCACTTGCTTAAAATCTGTAACTTTTGACAGAACCAAGATTTTACCTTTAAATAAAAAACACAAAATTTATAGGATATTTTTACATAAAACATGCAGGACATGCTAACTAAAGATTTATAATTAAATCTAAGAGAAACCAAATCAACAATCTTAGGCAACATGGGCTATGCCGTGTGTACAAATTAGTTTTGTTATGATTTATTTTTCGCTTAAACTAGACGATACAATGTCTTATAAAAGATGTTCTATTTGAATAATCTATGCGCAGTGACAATACCTAATGAGCAACGACCATAAACGTGTCATATAAACAAACGGTCATTAAAACTCCAGCGTTCTTATGGCCTTAATTGCGTTTTCAATCGTGTACAGTGGCACACTTTGCCGATTAACCACAACAACCCCGTCTATTGTTTGACATACGATATACGAGCCATCGTTTGCTTTTACCATAACATAGCTCGATAGATGGCGCCGACGCAGGGACCGCCACAACGCGTTATCATAGTTCTGCCGATCAGCCACGTAGAATCCTCGGGCTTCATCTAATACGATAAAGTCTTTCAGAACGAAGGGACTGACATTGACAAGCACATTTTTTATGATGGTGAGGTTTTCATCCGCCCAGTCGATCAGGAACGGATCCGGTGCTGGGTTTCCGTCATTTACACAGAACCGGTTTACCTCGAGAAAAGCGGCAAGAACGTACAATCCTCTGGAGACGACCAAAAGGAAATTCGACGCTGGATTTGTACCAATATTACCCTGCGATCTATCGTCACCCCCAGCATTTGATCCAGTGATGCTGACATCGACGTCTGCTTTTGGCAGATGTATAGGTCGCCACACAATAGTCCGTGCAATCTCTCCTGTGCTAAAGATGCATTCTTGTCGTAAAAGCAGGAACATTAGCTCGAGATGGGACCGCTGCAAGTGTGAACAGACAGTGCTGTCGTTCATAAAAACGACGCTACCAAGCAAATGGTGCGTGCGAACATACGCGCCATCTTCCAGTTCGCATGCTTCAAAACGATAGAGCACGGTATCGAGCTTAACTTTAGCCGAATCCGGCATAAGCGTCAGCTGTGGCAAAGATAAGGCTCGACTGTCTGCAGGCTCCGAGCGTAAGCTATGAAAGTACCGGCTGAAAAATGCGTCCACATGTGGTCGACGCCGTTCAATTGCATCGTCCAACTCTTCCAACGAGCCGAACTCGGCAGCGACCGTGATACGGAGCTGGTCAACAACCGGACGTATTAGTGACAACGGAACGATGTCCGCGCTAACGGAGACGCACAGCAGACCACCGGACGCCAGCTGGACGTAACTGATCGAGTGTAGCTGTTGGTCATACGTAATTGACGTTGCGGACGCCCCTGAATTAAACGAATTATTCAGGGCGTCGTGCAAGGTAGGAAATGCGCCGGAAATCGATGTGGCGGGAGACTCTGGAAATTTGTAAGCTTCTCGGGCGCCAGGTCTGAAAAAGACAATGTAATAAATAATAAACGGCATACCAAACGTAAAGGCTAGTTGAAATACGGCACGTCGGTAAATAATATTATGAAAATCGTATATAAATAGAGATAAACTTCAATCTGGCCATAGTTGCCGATTACGCAGCAAAGTTCGCTCATGAGATAAGCATGAAGGACGCAGTATAGTACAAGGACGGTATTGGAGTTCGTGTTCTACACGCTTTTCTTACTGAAAGTACAGCAATTGGTGTGAAAAGTCTGGCGGAGGTTTTGTTGGGGCTTGATCCTTTTCTTCTATCTTAAGCGATCGCCTCAGAACGTGCAGGCGGACGGACTGTGCTCCGGGCGCAAGGCCCGATAGAGTCATTTCGATACCCGCTCGATCTTGGACGGGGATTCCTAGAATTTGCCAACAGGGAAATATAACAACGTCAAACATTATCATTGCGTATAATTAGAAGGCGAATAATCGCTTTTTTTACAGCTATTCTTCACTATGGTATAGCACTCAAATATTTTCTAATAAATAATTATGCTTTGCATGTATTACATAATGCGCAACGATGTCAAGCGTAGAGTGTGTACTGTCATTTACCTTATGTGTTTTTGTTTTAAGGGCTTGAACAGGCGTCTCAAAAAGTTCCATACACCTATACATATATGCGCAATAATTATGTAATTAATTATGAAATTAATGTGTAAATGTTATAGTTTCTATAATATACTGCAGCTAACCCTCAACGCGATGAATGACATCTCCTTCCTTGACAAGCTGGTCTTCGAGGTCGACAAGAATAGCTTCGACCGCGCCTCCACGGCCGATGCGAAGTCCAAGTAACCGTTCGGCAAGGCCAGCCTTGCGGCCCAGATTTGCTCCACGTCGCTGCTCGAGCTAGTTTCATCAATTTAGTAATTAGAAGAAAACCCGACGGATTTGTTACTGTAATGCAATGCCTATTATTATAAGTCGTTTTATATAAATAATATATATAAATGAATTTCATACGGATACATCTGATTTCGTACTTATCCAATAACACTTAAGCATGAATAAGCTAATTAGCAGCGGAATATAAAGCAGAATATTGGAACATACGGCTTATGTGGAAAATGTGTAATCGTACCGATAAGGTGACTTTGATTTCAGCCCAGCTGGGCTCTGGAGGTGTTTCGATGTAAAACAGCCTACCGGATGGGTCGACGCGACCTTCCCAAGCTTCCGTTGAGGACGAACTCCCTGTTGCTCGCTCTAAGCCTGATGCCCATTGTGACTCAGGATATCGTTGGGTCATGCTTAAGTTTCAAAGGCTGTTATCCACGATAACTCACAGCAGTCGGTCATGACATCTTGTGCATTTCAGACTGAAGCATCGCGCAACTGCATGACCGTTTCAGAGTTTGCGACCCGGAATATCATATGATAAATAACGTTCGCTTATATACGTATAAATAATGTTTTCTACGTATCGTTTGCTATGTAAATTGCCGCCACATTTATCGATACCAGTGGGCTTTGAACACGTCTCCTCAAAACCTTTTCACTAAATATAAAAAGTTTGTTTCATAAAACCACCTGCTCCTCATACCGTTATCATCCGACCACACAACAAGCGGGTGTAGTTATGAAAATCGTCAATTTGTTCCCCATACACGAAACCTGCACAATTCTTTATCGATATGTGCACGTCATATGCATGTACACAAAAGTTTTTCAAAAATTTCTCCGTTAGCTGCAGTTGTTTCGTGCCTTTTCGCCAAGCCTGTGCATACACCCTATTATCCTCCTTTCCTAAGCAAATTCAACTAACTTCTGCCAGTCATGTGACCTTGTCGATTCCGAGGCTGTGCGTGGTCAAAAGCGGCTTTCAGTTTTGAAAATCGAACTGTCCGATTTCGGTGGTGACGGAAACGCTGACGGAACTACCGGAAGTCGCTGGGGTCGAAACATACGCCCGATATCCTCCTCTCACGCTCCAAACCATAACAATTCAGTCTGGACTCACAGCTGCTCACTCACTCGGCTGCTATGGGATGGTACGTGTGCCATAAGGTCAGCAGACGAAACAGCTGATTTTTAAAATAACCGCGGTAAAGGGAGTCATTTTTTTCTTTCTTGAAGAAAATTGTGGCAAAAACACTTTTTCCGATGTGATAAACTAGGAAGACGTAAAAATAGAAGTGAAGTAAATATTACGATCACCTAAGTTATTGCGACGTCCGTTTGCTTTGTTCTATTAAATCCATACACGTCTAATGGACTCAGCGTGTGAGTAGACTTTGTGTTTTGAGCTTGTGCGGATAACTGAAATGTTTCTATGGGATGTGAGATAAAAATGTGTTGTCCGTCTCATGACACTTGTTGTCTAGCCAAAATAATCGGCAGATTCGGTCCACAGTGATTTTATACTAACATCTGATTGAGGTACCAGTGTGCTGATCAATATGGCGTGGCTTTCGCAGAGTGTGAATAAATACTGAATATCATCTGCAGTATTAATGTTATAGCACGATTTTCGGATGCACCAGAGCAGCAGATGGATTGGAATCAACTCCGTAGCATTCTAATTAACCTAATCAGTAAAGACATGAAGATTCTCTAAAAAATAGCAGTCATGGGTGACGACAGCTACCAATGTGTAGGTTACGACTTCACGTATTCATAATATCATTTAGATATAAAATCATCAGAGCAAGTTTTGATATAGAACTTAATAAACTTAAAAACACTTGAATCAAAACGCAATATAAATCCTTTTGCGCGGACACGGTATGTTATCAGGCTCTTAAAAATTAAAAAATAAGTTGGTAATACATATAATCTAAGTAATACCTCTGAACTGGCGTAGTAAAAGAAGTTCGTTGTTCACTGCTAGGCAAATCCAAACTTTTTTTAAGTTACAATACCGAACACTTTTTTTTAATAAATGCTGTTTTGCACGGTAAATGAATTTCTTAACAGAGAGTTCTAATGATTTTCAAAGTAGTTAACCTAGCATAGTATAGTTAGGCGCTAGCTTCTCATTCCGGTGTAGTTTAGTTGATCCAAGAAAACTACACCGCAAGGACACATTAAAGGTTAAATACCCTGCCCGACATCTTTGCCTTGTATAAAAAGAAAATGGCATTCAAAAATCAAGTTAGCCGCACGAATTGTGTACTTGCGTACGACGCTTTAGATTAAAATGCATAAATCGCAAAACGATATACTAAGCATCCGTTTGAAACGTCCAGGAGGATGGGGTCGTTACTTCTAGCCCCGACAACGACACGTAAATACTCTATACAATTTGTGTGAATATATGAATTTCTTATATTGAAATATAGAGTGTATAGCACCATGTGCCGGCTTCAATCAATGGAAACGAATTAGCGACATTTTTTTTTCAATAAATTTTGAGGCGCATATTTCAGCCGAGTGGATTGTCTCGTGAAGACAAAGGACATGGAGAGTGCAATTCAGATTAGCTTATTACCCATCCTAATAAGAATATTTTTTGGTTTTTCGCAACCGCTAAAGGATTTTATGGAATTGGCCTTCAAATCGGCGGAGGAAGCTTTAGCAAACCAGGAAGTGCCTGTCGGTTGTGTGTTCGTTCTCGACGGTCGTGAAGTTGTTGCCAATGGACGAAATCGCGTCAACGAGACCAAAAACGCATGCCTTCATGCTGAATTCGTTTGTTTGGATCAGGTCGTAGCCACGCATGGCCGCAAAGCTCTTACAAGGTAAAATATGTAATACTATCATCTTATGCATATGTTAGAATACAGCAAGTTCTTCCAAACTTCACCAATGTTGCAAAATAGCGAGATTTGATTGACTTAAGTCACCCCTTAGTTAGTTATTTTCGTTATATGAATAGAATAGGTTGTATAGGTAGACAGGATTATTTACAAAAATTGTTATTACGGTTGTTTCTTGCTATTGCATTATACTACCGCGTTGAAAAATGACACGCTGTTTGTCTACATTTTAAATATGTGCCCTAAGGAAATTCGTGTTCATATTTAAGAAGGACAACGAGCAGGACAGAAGGACGGTAACGATTAATAAGTTTTCCGCCTCATAGACACACTACACTAATAATTATTCGTTCGTTGTTATTAATAAGCGAATAGCATAATAGCCTTTAAATCCAAGCAGGAACATAACACAAATTATCCATCTTTGCTATATTAGTACCAGTACATGGGAGCCAATTAGAACAATAGGTGGAACATTGCATTGTCAAATTATCAGGTATTTAGTATTTATATCGTCCCATTTCCATTTCAATTCCAGAATCGATGTCTATGTAACAGTGGAGCCTTGTATAATGTGCGCGTCGATGCTGGAGCAAATCGGTGTACGAAAAATCATTTACGGAGCTCACAACGAACGCTTCGGCGGCCTTGGTAGTGTACTAAACGTTTTAAATCCGTATATAGGCAACGACCAAAGGCATGGAGCAAGCCAGGACCAAGGTTCGACCATTAAAGTCGTGTCTGGTGTGCAAAAAGAACGCGCCGTTAACCTCTTAAAGCAGTTCTACCAGGGCGAAAACCCAAATGCGCCCCAACCAAAACCTAAGAGGAAGAATAAAGAGAGCTGACATAAATGATTGACCTATATCAATACTTATTAGTGTTGTCATTCTATTGCATACAAAGCGACGCATCCTCATAGGCGTTAAAAGTTCTTGTTTCAATGGGTCCTTTTTTGATAGCGAGTCACCTAACGTTTAACCGAAGAAATTGAACAAACGCGATTCTTATAAGTTGACTGATTTCGCCTGTTAGTACCACCTCTTTACGCTGATTCAGCTTCCAGTTTTGACATAATTGTATACACTATAATAACGTATAAAATTATATATTGCCGATTACGGTTGCCGCCAATTATCTATGATTGCCTCGTGCTGGGTTTGTTGTACGAAGCTTTATCGATAAAAAGAAGTGCAAGTAATTAGTTGACATTTGTGTAATTAAAGAAATTGGCCCAGTGATCATCGGCATTCAGTTACGTCCAAATGATGCTAGCACGTAGCACAAATCAGAAGAGATAGTAGTGAGTGATTCACACCCACCGTTTTCATTTGCTTTAATTCTGATAACTTCCGGTCATTCTGATAAATTCTTTGCATGTTTTCAATACTACTTTCAGAGCTCCTCTCTGATTTTATTCATTTTTGGCCAGCAGTCCAGCTCATTCATGCGTTTGCCCTTGACTTTGGTACCTTCGATCATTCGGCCTGTCTTTGGATTGACGCACCAGCATTCCGCATCGAGGTTGTAACATTGTTTGCGGTCGAATAGTCTTGAATAGTATTTGTCGCACTGAAAATAATCATCAAGCAAGTTTCCTATTCAGAGTCAATTATGCACCACACGTTCTAAGCGCATAAACTTGAAAATCACAAGGACACGAAAGATTGATTCTCTTGAACTTCTCTACCATTCCTATTTCTATAGGATGCATCAGTTAACTAATATTAATAAACATAAGCGCACTTCAACTTGTCTGACTACTGAGACCATTTTCAACGTTTTTGTCGTCTCACACTTGAACTGATGGAATATCCGTTAAATGTAATACTCTTCAAGGTACGATATAAGGTAAACGTTTTTAATGCGCATATCCTTATTACCTACCAAAAGTTCAGCTTAATCTGTAAACAATATTAAAGAGGTTCACTTGCGACAAATTATTTGTACGAAAGATTTTTTTTACCAATGTAACTACGAATCACCGTAAACATCATAGGTGTATTAGTAGACGCGTAGTCTAGTATCCGGCGTCACAGCCCGTTCGGACAACTGGGAACGGTTAAATTATTTAAACTCTAGTATTTGAATAGCTATTCGTGATTTGACCCCATAATTGACATAAGAATCTACTAAACATCGATTTTCTGACCTATTTTGGGGATAGCCATTTCGCGCTTTCAACTTTGTAGCGTCCTTGAATAAATTTCCATTTTCGTTGAGTTTTCTATGAGTCGCTTACCTTGGGCAAAAACATCCCGAGTTTTCTTCCTATAAGTGGTTTAACATGGTCTGCTAACCGGCGACAAGTGCACCATTTACCTTTGTTCTTAGAACGGCACTCCTCTAACTCAGCGGGATCACCCTTTAAGGCACATACGTAACCTGTCCAATATTCAGACGTGATAGCAAAACAGAGAAAAATTGCCAACAAACGAATTTGGGGCATTTTTGGACTACTGACTTAGCTCACATTTATGGACTTATTGACGGGCATACGTGCGAACCCGAATGGCATTGCAATCGAGTAACAAATCGCTTGGCTATCAATTTTGTCGGTTCAAGGTCTTCCGTCGATATCTAAAGCCAATTGTGATTCTCAATATATTTTGACAGTTTGAAATTTCGTGGAAAAATGATTATATCGTCAAATATCGAATTCTATCGTATAAAAGAGTAGAGGGAAGGTAATACGCATACCGCGAAGTCTATCCAATCCTTTTGGCGCCTTAAATGCACCGAAGCCTTTGCTTGACATGGATGATGGATGAAGGTTCGGCCTAAATAATGGGACCGTAGTCGACTGTGGCACGGACTAACACTGACCGTTTTCAGCAACCATTACCGGATGGGCGTCCTACATCAAATTGTTCGTAGCTTTCTTCGAGAAAACGACAGTATTGTTGATAAGGATGTGCCCGTATCTTTAACGACTGGCTCTTCTCAGATCTGTTACAGGAATCTAATGCTTAGCATAAAGGTACGATGCATTTGTCTGTGCGAGTTGTCTTATTTGATTATATCTGTGAAAAACAACAACAAAAGGATAATTTTTTTACAAATATACATTTATTGTCGTAATTTTACATAATGATTAAATAGTCTTTATTTACAATGTTATGTCTCTTATGTGTTGCCCAGTCGCTGAACACCATACCGTACATCGGCTAAATAATAAATGTTCTATTTGAAAAAAGTACGCTTTCAGCAAATGGTGGCCCCACAACGCATTTTCACATGCACATAATAAGCGCTAGCTAGTCCATATTGTCGCATTTTTCTTTATAGGCCTCTTGGAATCGCTCCTCAAACAGGGACAACTCTGACATAAGATCGTTGATTGCGCTTTTCAGCGCCTCAACGGGCGTGGAGTCGGGCGTCGTCTGCACGCGCAGCAGGATCTTGTGCTCAAGCGGATGGGGGTTTTTGTAGCCAGCGAACGTCACAAGGGGATCCTGTTACATAATAAAGGTTACGTAATAAAGAAAAAAAAGCACATTGGACAGTAGAAAGGGAAGCTCTAGAGAAAAAAAGAATTTTAACATCTCCACCATTAACAATATTAGGTCATCAATTTAGTAGAGATTGAAGGAATAATTTGTCGAAGGTTTAACTCATGGCGCAGAAAAATATAATTGAGGTGCGTTTCCTTTTAATCATAAAAAAATTTATGATGCTTACATATTATCAAGTTATTTTATCGCGTAGAAGAAAACCAAAATTAACATATATTATTTAGTAGAATTGATCTTAAACCTATTTCTAAGTGACTTACTAGTTCAGGCATACTTTTTAAACGAAAACATTTAGCTCACCTTAAGTAGCTGCGCGCGGATCATGTTCCCAAGTGTATGGTCCTCCTTGTTTATCGTAAATATAGACGCATTCGGCACCTGTATATCTTCAGTTAGATACGCACTCATACACATATGAATATACACATGATATGAGATACATTATAATTTTCTTTTAAATCTAAAATGTACGTAACAGGCTTAGTAAGACGCATAAAGTTATGTATGTTCTTCATTTGAATTTTCGTCGATTTGAATTCAAATCAATCCTATTCTGGATTAGTTACGAACTGTATAGCAGCTTAGCAACCTTAACATAACCTAGACAATGCAATGGGCGCGACCCTAACTTCCTCGTAATGGGCCGTCGCGGTACAGAAGTACATCTGGCTTTAATGTTAATACCATATATTGTAAGTGTTGCCGTTACTCTTTCGGGGTCTTTAATAAAATGCAAATCATATATGTCCAAAACGCAAATTATAGATATGAAAGTCCTACGCAGGTGGGCCACAGCAGCGATTTCTTATCGTCAGCTACTACCACTCCATGCTCTGTCATACCGTTGTACTGAATTACAATGCAAATCCCGACTACTTGATTTTCCTATCTTGGTTCTGAAATTCCTAGTGATATATCAAAAGTTGACTGTTATTACGGTCAGAAATCAATCATGTGTTCATACCTTTGTATCCTTCTCAATGGTGATTTTCTTCTCGCCGTCGAACAACAGAAAGCACTCAAATGTTGGCGGTGCATTCATTTTCGTACTGGGCTCTGCCTGAGCTGCGTACGACTATGACAGGAAACAATGACAATATTAAATAATGCTTCGAATCCAATCCGTTCTCAGGAGACCGGTACGCACAACCTGCTTGCACGGGATTTTGCGGCGTTCGCTTACCTCTGGTTTTGTTTATTTGTGTGCGAAAACAATACTCCATTCCTGGTATTTTTTGACAGAAGAGTTGCTATATACAAAGGAGCGCACATTTTCAAATATCTGCAGAATTCGAGAATAAATTTTCAGAAGCAACCTTGTCCTAGATAAGCCTTTAGTCAAGCTGCCCGCTGTGAAGAGTTAGAGTAGATTAATTCGTATTAATAAATGCATTTTCAATCGACGGAACTTTTATTGTTGAAGTTACCCGTCGGAACTACCTCGGAGCAAATCCTAGACATGTGCGTATCGTTAGCTAGTGTTGATTTCGCACAAATATTATCTGTGGCGTCGCTTCAGGGCGCTACAGGCGTTACTTGTTGTGGTTGACTAAACCGTTTTTCGCACCACACAACACACAAGGCAAGTGGCAGGCTCAGCTGCTATCGTGCAGTAGCTGCGTCGGCCTCTATCTTTTGGGCAGCTGTCACTGTCCCGTCCAATATCTCAACATATGAAACTAAAAGAAAAAAAGTTCTGCACCGGGGCTCACTGGAAGTGCTACTTAAACAATGTCGACTACGTCCTGCGCCAGCAACGACGATCCACCAACCAACGATCTGGTTCCGATCTACCAATGTTAGAATTGTATTGTAGACGTTCTTTGTTCTGTAAGATCTGCCTCTACAGAAGTATGGTGCACGAAACCTTTTTGACATGTCGTTGACAATTTTGAAATATTTCCGTGTTGAATAAGAACAGCCTGATTATTATAGCCGTGTAACCGCTTCAAAGGTGCTTCCATAATCGAATAGATTCACATCGTCTACGTTTTGTTATTATTATTATTCTTCCGTTGATCATAACAAAAGTGAACGAAGTTTAAAGCCATAGTTGTTTTTGTATTTTACAAAGCTCCACAGTGGTCTTTTTTGTTCTGTTTGGCTACGCCGTGTTCGACTCGACGTATAGCTAAAATACGTAATCTCAGCCGTGTCAGAATGCGTACCCGCGGTGCACAGAAGTCTGGCCAGTCAGCTCAGCCGCTGGAACTCCCTATGGAAGAGACCATGGCAGATGTTGATGAGGAGAAGGTTTACGCAGACCTAAGCGCCGTTTCGAACTACGAAGTGCTCGAAGAGAATGGCGATCAGGTGGTTATCACGAATGGGGCACATCTGCCTGAAGTACACTACCAAGAAGACGAAGAAGAGATGCTAGAGGAGGACGAAATCTATGACACGCAAGAAGAGGCTGAGCTTGACGACGAGCCGGAATTATCCTTCGAAGCATCGGATTTGCCGAAGATCATCATCCGTCAAAAGGAAGCTGATGCGAAGTCGATGTCTATTCGTTCGAAAACGCGCTCACCCCCGCTTAAGCGAGTCACGCGCGGAAAAAAAGGCAAACTTCCAATAGAGGCTGTCGACGTACCGTCTGATGATGACGAAGACGAGGCATGCTCTTCTGAAGACGAATGGCAACCCCCGCAAGCAGACGAGTCTGACGCCAAGTGGGCTTTTGAGCAGGTGCGTTCAATGGTCGACAAAGCGATGACGAACGCCGCCGAGAAGTTACGAGGTGAAATGGAAGAAGACCCGAAGCGGAAGTTCGGTACGCGTGTGCTAGCGAAGACGCGCGGTGTCAAACAAGTGGTAACTGTAGTGCGAGACAAAGTCATCGATAACCCTTCGGTCGGTCCCAAGGATCTACGGACGGATCGTGTGATCCCAGATTTCCTTGAGTTTCATCGGTTTCGAACGAAAGGCTACGGAGTGTTAGCCAAGCTGCCTATCGACGTCGGGGTACGCTTTGGGCCCTATGCCGGTGTCATTCGGAAAATGAAGAGCGTCACAAGCGAAAGCGGTTACGCATGGCAGCTTCGTGGCTTCAAAGAAGGCGAAACAGTCGTGGATGGCTTCGACGTTAAGCACGCTAATTGGCTTCGATACGTGAACTGTTCGAACACCGCCGAGGAAGCCAACCTCCGCGTATTTCAACATGAGAAACGAATCTACTACAAAACGTGCAAACCCATTGTACCTGGCGACGAACTGCTTGTATGGTACGGCAAAGAGTACCGCGAGGTGATCGATTCACAGATCGAGAACAAGAAACGAAAACGCGAAGAAACGTTTGGCGCCGGCGTCGGCCAGAAGACCTGGAAGTGTCCACACTGTATGTGTCGCATGCTTGTCAAGGCCACCTTCGATCGACATGTGAAGAAGTGCGGCAAGAATCCGAATCTGCCGAAGACGCTGAAATGTCCGAAAGCCGGTTGTGGCTTCTTCACGGTGCACAAGGATGCCTACGATAAGCACGTCAACAACCCAAAACATTCAAACGTTGCCGTTCATCGATGCCGCTGGAAGTGCGGCTATCGCACCTTTAACGAGCTACGTTACCGACTTCACCTCGAAAGGCGACACAAGAATATGGAATTTCCTGACGCATACGACGTCGAGTGTAAAGTATGCGGCCAGCGCTTCCCCTCCAAGAACGCCATGGACATTCACTCACAATGGCATCGAAAGAATCTGTTTTTCTGTAGCGTATGTGGCAAGGGTTACACGACCATCGGCATTCTTAAGGAACACGCTCAGATGCATGAGGGAAAAAATTACAAATGTGAGTACGAGGGCTGCGGCTACGCCACGTATTGTAAGCGAACATTGAGTCGACACACGCGCTGCGTCCATCTGAAGATAAGGACCGCGTTTTGTGATCTCTGCTCAAAGTCATTCTTCTGTAAGAAAGATCTCCGCCAGCATCAAAACAAACTGCATAATGTCTTTAAGATCGAAAAGAGCTTCAAGTGTCGGCCGCACAAGGTCTCCTACGCCACTGCTGAAGAGCTCAAAGCGCACGTTGCCGAGATGTTCCCGTCGTTCAAGCCAAAACACAAGTACCAATGTGAGCACTGCTGCTATTCGACGGCGTACCCATCAACATTCAAAACTCACCAGGCGTGTCATAGCGACGAGCGTAACTTTGCCTGCGACCAATGCGACAAGACGTTCAAGCTACAGGTATCTCTCAAAGAGCACCAAGCATCGCATGAAAGCGGCGATCCAGAGCGTTTTATGTGCGGCTTTTGCAATAAAGCATGCAAATCGAATACTGAACTACGGTCGCATCGACGCCGCTGCAAAATGCAGAAGAAAGGCCAAACGGGCAGCAGCGGTAACGGAAGCGCGGCAAAATCGCCAGCAGGGCATAGGCGCGGAAACGAGGATTCACAGGATGAGCCGGATGAAGACGATGAAGAAGAATACGAAGAAGACTATGACGAAGACGGAGATGATGAAACAGACAAGGATTACAAAGCATAATCTGACTGTTCTGAGAAAGAGATCCCTTTTAATCCCGTAACATATGATATTATATAGGGATAGATAGGTAGGCGGGGTTGAGGAAAACGCCTGTCGTAAATGCCTGATTGTGTCTGGATAAGCCGAAGATGTCGAGAAAAACGGCCCGATACAGAAAAGTTATTAGCCCTAGGGAAATTGTTATACACTTTTCAACTGTATCGATACGAGCCTTTAGGTCGATTTTTTATACCGCCTTTTAGCCGCTGGTGACTTTTTTATTTCTATATTTGCATATATAATTATATATATGACACTGCAATTATCCAAATGACAAAAAAGAAAGATGTCACCCGTTGCAAGAGGGTTTACCCGGACCATGTTCAGTATATTCGGCAGACTTGTATGTATCGTGTGCGAAAATTTGATTTTAATTGGAGCCCTACACATATAGGTATATTGTAGTTACCATAGTGTATGGGAACTTATGTGAATTTTATTGTTGATTATTACGTTAACAGTGTTGTGTATGATGAACAAGTACATACAATTTGTGGTCATAACTCGGATAAAATTTGTAGGTAATTTATTATTTCAGAGCTATGTAGCTAGTGTTAAATCCATTGTTACTAAATTTTAGTAACAATATCCTATCCTATTCGTGTATTGTAAGAATTTGAGTAGGATTTATGAGATCATTGAGGTTAAGCATGCTAATTCGACACAGGAAGCAAGCTAGTACTCTGTATAGGGAGCAGACCTTGTTGTATCAAGCAAGAATGAACTTTATTGTTATCATTATTATTATTATGATTAAAACACCGCGAAGCTTAACGATATATCATTAATATGGTTCCACTTGTGCGAGAGCTTGAAAGAACGCCAAACAGAGCAAACATGATTGATTTAACTTGATGTAAAGGTGCCATTCACTGTATTGCATCGAATCGAACGTTTTGTTTACTTTCGCTTACGGATCAACATACATATTCTCTTCTAAGGACAATCTGTAATAAAAATATAATTACGAGAACAAAAACCAAATTATCAAACAACAAGCTTATAGCGACTTGGGTAGGTAACAGGAAATAGTATTCAGCCAACTTTATGTAAAGATAACGTTCATGTTGGTTTTATGTCTCGTTTTCCAAGTTTTTTTCTTACAGTTCATAAACAGAAACTGGAACTTAGGTGCTAATTCTGTTAATCATTTAATAACTAAATATACACATGGTTTATACTGATAATTTTTACAACAACAGCAGGTTATACTCCATTGAGATCGATACCTTTGACGTTCGTCAATTAAAAATCAATATTGCTCACCAAAATGTGCTTAACAGTGATTACGTTTGTCTGGAAGTCCTATCAGAATCGTATCGTACACGGAACTATTCTCGAATGATGCTAAACAAAATACATGTTAAGCGACCATTATATGATAAACAAAACTAACAAAGATTTTCATTCCTTTTGGTAGTTGGAAAAGCTTGCATGGTCGTTTCTACTCGAGTGTTAATGCTTCGCTAATTCCGAATATTTGCAAAAGTTGTGACTAACACTTAGTACGGTTATGATTCTTATTAATTGCCAATACACTACATTGTAAGTACTCATACCCGTCGAATCACCTAAAACTAGAACATTTACTACCCGAATCATCATCACCATCATTTGTTTTTATAGTAACAAATAAATTATAAGAACGAAAATAAAGTGAGTTACGGAATTAATCTTCGTGAATTGCAGTATATCATTATATCGTGCTGTGATATGTGTTGCCTTAATACACATATATGTGTGGTCCATATATGGTATTAGGCAAAGTAATTCAAACGATTTAGAATTCCGCTCCGTGCCCATTAATAAAAAAATTATATATACATATATATAAGGTTAACTTGAATAAGTTTAGAGAGAACTTTTCTTTTAAATCTACAAATACTAGAAGATGCCTTAAATTTTACTTTAATTAACATTAAAGACTAAATAGTTTACATATTTAATTATGAATTATTATTATTTTTATTGCGTTTTTGTGAGTTGTTTAAAGTCAAAAGCTTCATTTCAAGATCCATATGGATCTATATTTGTTCTTCTTACATTAGGTATACAACTACCAGGTATAAACGGCCTGTCACCCTAATTTACACGTTTTACTTTCAATATTACTACATCTGTTTCCTCGCTTAATGATTATTCATCTAGAGCCTCGCTTATAGGCAACCTATTCGATTCAATTTATATAAGATCTTGCATATGGTCATGTTTTTAGCGCATTATTACGTATTTTTGCGTCTTTTGATTACTTGCTCCGATATGCTGTTCATTCGCCCGTTAATTCCTAGTAAACACTAAATGCCCTTGATGTTGTCAAATAAGTAGGCAGACGCGCTCCGGAGAAAGAGAGTCGCTAACTATTAACACTGCGTTCTCTCCCTACTAATTTGTATAAGGATATTTTGTCGTAAATTACCCTATGTTTTTAGCTATTCCGCCATTGGAATAATTGCACAACACTGTCTGCGGACTAGATATAAGTAAATCAATTTCGTAAAGTGACAATGCGCTCTTGATTTTATTGCTCGCTTGCATTTTATAGGGGTGTGTGTGAATGCATTTACGCATGTCTGGGTTACCCAGACTGCCTTCCCAGGTAGCCCATCCCGTTGGCGAATAAGTGTTAAACTCGCTTGTGACCAACACGAGAATACCCACTAAAGCGTGATCCGTCACTTTGAGATCCTCTTAGGCAGTACAGAAGTATCAGCTACCTACGCTTTTACGACAATCGTCTGGGTTTCGACTTCGCCTATTATAGTGACGATGATAATGCAGTAACGAATAGGTAATCATTTGATCGTCCATGTTTTCAGTTTCATCATATCTCCTGTTACCGCTTAGGCTGTCGCAAGTCTGGCTTTTTTCATACCGACTTCGTCATATACTCGTTACAGAAATCTACGAAGCATCTGTTCTACCCTTTTCGTTTCTCATAATACTGTACACGCCTACACGTTCTTTACCTTATATAAGCCCTCCTGTCTGTATTGGCCTTGATCAGTTTATGCCTATTTGACGTGATATCTCAGGTCTCCATATGGCCTGTAATACTAAATTTTTAGGTATAGGGTCAAAAAGACAAAAATCTTGCCAGCAGCCTGTGCATTTATAGCTGCTGTTTACTATGGCTTTCTTACCTTCTGTGTCCCGTTCCGATTTTAACCAATTTCCATCGTTACTTAGCCTTCATATCTAAACGATTTTCCTTTACACGTTCTTCTTCTTTTACTTTTCGCCATTCCACATTTTATTTAGCACGTTATTTCATCTCTTGAAGACATTTACCATTTCCTCTGTCTTTAGCGTTGCGTTTGCACAAGAAGGAGCGAGACGCAAATCAAATGCAATGGTAAATTCAAACTCAGTGATTCGTTCTACCTGAGAAAAAAGTACTTTGGATATACTCGGAGTTCCAGTTTGAACTGGGTGGGCTTATCCAGCAATAAATGGTCGCTAGTGAATTCAATTTATCGGTGTTTATATTTTCTACTCGAACCTAGGTAGCGCTATTGCATGCCTCACGCAATGAATGTCAACCCTAAGTAGCTGCAATGTTCCAGTTGACGGTTATTATACTGGCAGGACCATTTGCATAGACTGTATTTAGTGCTTGGCAGGACTACGAAATGAAGGCGTTTGTAGAATTCTTACTAGAAATTAAGAAGGGTAAAAATATAGGAATGAAAGACAGATCTAACCATTAAACTGTTAACTAAAACATCATTAAAAAAATCATTACACAAAGAATTTCTTTTTGTCATGAGAACGACATGATTATCGATACATAAATACGCAAAAATATAAGCGGGTAGGAAGAAAATAGTATTATATTTGATATCTCCTAGAACTTTCAGCCACTTGCTTTATTAATCGGTTAGAAATAAAGGGGATTTGATTGGGGTCAAGCAAGAAGCTTAGTAATATTAGTACCGTCAATCAATGTCATCCTATAGTTGTATACCTTAGATAAAATACCAATTAATTAACTGTTTTACTCCCTTTATAGGAAGTCATCAGTCAAACCAAGCATACACCATCCACCACTGGATCGCCATTTCAACGCAAAACACCCATGTTATGGTTCTATTCAAAAACTGATTTATTTACTCAACATTGATTGGATTCGCTGAGGCTGGACTAATGAGTCGAAACTACTCAATCATATTCAATGGAAATCGAAGTGCTAACCGAAAAACGTATCTAAAAATGAGTTCGTGTCAAAGTTTGTTTTCAACTTCGCTAGCTATTAACGCCTCAGTGTTTTCAACGGGCTCATTGTTTAAAATTGGTATTGTTATACTTATGTTGTTATACTATTGCGATCTCTTGCGATTGTCAAATACATTTTCTACGTTTAATAATCTGCAAGATCTTTCCATTAATGGGCTTCTATGACATTTTGATTGCTGCCCCGGCCGTTCAATTCTCCGTATTTGAACTGCTACCATTTTCAACAATAAGACAAAGCCATTCATCATCTTTAACATCTTCTTTCTTTTATTTTACCTTTTCGTCGCTACTAGCAGCGAATCGTTTCAAGCGCCGAACTGAACGTAGATTTCACCTTGCCGCCGCTGCGCAACCAAAACAAAGATGGCGCCGCCCACTGCAAACAGAACGAGCGGACGATCAGAACGAATCGCAAAAGGGCTCTACTCACTGACTTGAAGGCCCAAACAAATTGATTCCTAGTCGGGTGCTCACTAGCGCCGTGTATGTGGTCGCTGACCCGTTTGTGCCCGAAACTGTGTGTGTGCGTGTGTGTGAGTGTGTGTGTGTGTGTGTGTGTACGTTCCTTTTTTTAGCTTTTGCTATTATTTTATGTGTTTCGCCAGTAACTTCTGTGTAATAGCCGTAGTCTGTTTACGGTTTCAAGTTTTGTTTGTTCTAGTGTTTCCACTGACTGCTCTCATAGCATTTACACTTGTTCTTGTGGAGTAGTGAATGCGTTCGAGACACCCAGCTTCTTCTTCAGTTGAGGTAAATACGGATACAGCTAGAGGTACTATTAAAAGCATGTACGTATTATTTTTATGTGTGCGCTGTTTGTAATTTTCTGGTTGAATGTGTAAGCGTTGAGTTTCACCTGTTCTAGTTCCAATTGTTCAACACATCCCAATCGACGTTATGTCTAGGCAAACTATACTCTTATCGGTACTGAAAAGTTTTAAGCTTCCGATAATTATTCTCTAAAACGAAAGTCGTTGCACCAAACTGGTTCTTTTCTTGGAAAAAAAGAAAACAAGGACAAAATATGTATGTATCGGAAGGGAAAGCCAATGGCATAGAGGTAATAAATACAACTTCACCCCATAAGGCATGGGGGTGCAAACAGACATACGACCCGTTTATAGAGAGCTATCACCCTCTGATTATGAGAACACAGTAACGATAGGAGAGTTATTTGCTGTGTTCGACGTTTATTAGTGATCTGAAAAGACAAAGAGTGTGTGCGAACAAAAGTGATCGTATTGCAACAGCAAGAAGATACCGCTGTTACCATCGCTGCGACGATGAACGAACGCGCAGTTGTTAGCGGCGTTTGCCTGCTTTTGTATTATCTAGAATATCTGGCTCGATAGCTCTATAGGGGCAAAAGAAGACTCAGCCGTTAATGCGGTCCGTGCTGTGTATGGATGTTACTTTACAAACGCAGATCAGGAACGGTCTTCTGGCGAATGACGAAACGTTAGCTGATTTGCCAGTGGTTGATAGATTAGTTAAAGCGGGGGTGGCCGTGCTGCGGCCATAAAAAGTGAATAAGTGGTTTTTGGTCTTTGTCAGACGATGGCAGTCTATAGTGGCGTCAGATAGCCGTCGATACATTTAGGTTTTTAGAACTAATGAAAGCACTATGCGTGTGTGCCTCAGAGAGTGTTTGACCGAACGGTGAGACTTACGTACGCGACAGTAATGACTGTCGTCACACAAAACGGCGGAAATGGACGTCACGTCGTGGTGGTATTGTGGACACCGCCGGGGTGAGTGGTTGGGTAAGGACGTCGTGTAGTCTATACTGGACGAGAAGATGTCCGGCTGAATTGACATTTGAAGAATTTTGATTTTTGATAGAAAATGTTTCAGGGTCGAGTCTTATAATTTATGTAATAAATAAATTTTGTACACGAAAATGTGAGGCTGTTCATGAAATGAAATGATTTTTCGGATGACAATCTCACGTCGCGTACACTGCTTTTTCAGATCAATGGCGCTTTCAGTTTTGGATTTTTCGGCAACTATAAATAAGTAGCTTACTCGGGGTATATATCTGTTGAAGAAAAAAGAATTTAGTCTAACCGTATCCGTCAAAGCAAACAAAATAATCTAGTGTATACCAACTATGCAGTTGAGCTTCGTCCAAGTGGCATTAATTACGTTCGATGTATATCCCGCTGCAAGCGTCACTCTCGTCCAAAACATATTACATTCAAAGGATTGAACAATGTATGCCAAAGTGTTGGTCACGACTCGAAGAATATATTAATATTGTTTATCATCCCAAGCAAAGACTTTAAGATTACCGAATTAGGTCACCTGCAAATCGTTATGTCAGCGAGTTACTGAACTCTCCGCAGTAACCACAGATCACTATAGCCGCTATGACTTCAGCACTGACAAGTATTATTTGTACAATATAAAAACTATACAAGGATTATTTTTATAGTAATACAATAAAAGTATTTGTTGACCTGTGTTCTTTGACGTATTATGTGCTCGATTAAATACGTCTCGTGCGATGCTGCAGTACGGCCTTGTACTGCATTATCGCACAAGTACATGCTAAGGTTGTCGAACTCAATTCCGACAAACAAAGCAGCCATATATTTTTGTTGCTGTTGATAAAATTACTTGGTTCCTTGTCGGTTTTTATACACGTACGAGGTAAATAGATAGTTGTTTATACATATACGTATATATATAGTTCAAGGCATGAGAAACAGGTGCCAGGGCTCACTAAAGGCTATCTTGCGTATGCAGAATTAAATAGAGCTTCTGTGAGTACCCTTTTACAAGGCAGCGCGTCTGTACACGGCGAAAATTTCACTAAGTGTGGTAATCAATAGCAATGTATGGGCGAGTGAGCGCTTCCAGACTAAAATGAAGAGAAAGATTATAGTGAATCATGATTGTATCAAAAAGGTGTCGACAATCTGGCTTTGTTTAGACTAGTGTGCCCTCAGTAGTCCATACCCGAGATGTTTTCTTCGAAGTAATTTCCGTCGGATTTCGGTGTGCCAGTGTGAAACCCGTTTTCCAAAGTGGAGAGCTACAGAAGAAAATTTCAAATGTTTCGTTGTTTTCTCTTTGATTTCGTCGGTTCGCTAAAATATTTCTCTTTTGTATTCTTTACTGTTTATTAGGCTTTAGAAAGCAGAATAATTGAGGAGGCTAGATCTGGTGAGTACAGGATCTCGACCCATAATTTCAAAAGCGATTTACAAGATTGGTACGTGCAAATACCCAGAAAGCTCAGTTCAAGCCGCTAACAAAATGCAAAACACAAAGTTTCAGTACTCTGAAGCTTGGCTTGTGAATAGCAAGCGGGCTGGCAGCTGTGGTGCCACGTGTTTAGCCATGGGTTAGCTTTGAACAGGCATAAGCCGAGCGTTTTGTCGAAACCTTTTTGACTAGTACGAATGTGGTAGTCGAAAGCTTCGCTTTTCGGCTCTTCTCTATTTCGTACTAAAGATATACCATATTACCTTAATCTGGCTTATCTACTTGTGCTGTTTACGCTATATTAGGTGCAACAGAGAGTATCAAAAAATGATGCCACTAAATGCAAGGTGCTAAAAATATAGTGCTACGCTCTCTTCAATGGATATGCTCCAAGATGAAACAAGAGTTTAGTGGTATCAACTGGCCTCGTTAACTTCCGCACGCGTGGCCAGTCAAGATTAGCTTGCTTTCCCAGGGCGTCGTTTAATTGAAGACCGTGCCATAGATAGTTCGCCCAAAACGTTTAGGTTATTTTCTTTGAATTTCCGTTTTAGAGCTTTATTGCTGGTTCGTTGTTAGGCTGGCTTTTGAATCACACACGCATTCGTCATATTTTATATATCGCTTGAATGGCCTCTGAACTTAATCTGTTTCTTGCGTAGTGCATTAACTTGTTGCATTTCTTTAGTGGTATTTGGACCTTTATCTGTTGGGAAGACGTCGGTAAGACAGAATCAGACAACCAGCTCATATACCACTAAATGCAACATGCATAGATCGACCCTCGCTGACGTTGAAATGCTTGACTCTAGGTAAGCCTTGTGTTGTAGTTACAGGGTAAAGGAAACAAATTAAGTTATCGTGATTATGAATCGGAAATCTATAGGTTATTTCAATATTTATAGGACTCAACTGCCCAACTGGTCACTCATATATAATTTTTATGTGAGAAACTCTATTTTAGTGGCGATTCAAAGGGCTCATTTGATGTAGGACCGTTCACTTAATGTTCTCGTGACATACGCATTGTATTAGCCTGAGCAAAAGCTGTACATTTTACCCAGATTTCAATGGCAGCATAAATGATTGCATTTTATCATATCGTATGCAGTCGTACGGTCTATGTTCGGGAAAATTTTTTGCTGTTCCACTTATGTTCGATACAAAACAACTGCTTGCACAATATATATAAACAGTACTTTCCGTTACACCATAAACTTTATAAGTCCTAGGTAACCTTTTATAACCTATAACACCGAAAAACATTTCGTTTTGCTCTTAGTCGCCTTATAGATGTACGAAACAATATTTGTGTTCCAAGGACCATAGGTTGCAAGATAGCACTAACTAGGTAGCCATGTATACATTTAAAAAGCCCTTAGGCTGAGATGAAAGAAAGAAGACAAAACTTCTGGCATTTCTAATCCTCAGTTCACATTCAATTTCAGCGTTGCTGTGTAAGTGATAATGGAGCCGCAACGGGTGCAAGCCATATATAATTTTACTGGAGAGCACACAGATGAGGTATGAGTAGCTATCTTGCTATTTAGCGCCCAGTGAAACCGATGCGTTAAGCATTCATATATTTTTTGATGGGTCTTACTAATTGCAAGCTTATGGTAGACTACGGTGTATTACTAGGACTATTACACTATACACTAGACAGTTTAATAGTATTTGACGCTCTTCGCTCGTATATTTCAATATTTGGTCTGTCTTAAGTGAGACAAATACAACTTTATCAGATGATTTGTATTCTTCTATAGTACAGGTGGTCGTAGCTAAGTCTTACTTGTGGGAGAGACGAACGTTCTATATATTTAAAAAGGATCAACAAAACATATAATTACCTTTCTGATAATGCAGCTGATGCCTTTAGCGCATATTGCTGGTTCAATGTACCTCGTTTGCTTGTCACGGCCTACCTTTTCTGGCTTGGAAACTATTTGTACTCTTAATTCAGTGTAATTGATCACGATCCTTCTTCAACTGATATCTCGAAAAAAAATTCAGACCCAAAGATCTACAAGGAGTTCATTCTTATATCTATAAGCTACAGTCGAATGGAAACCACTTACAAAATTACTAGAAGGAAAGAAAGATCATTTAATATGAATAACTCGAATAGCTTGTCCTTATGGCCCAGTCACAGTAAAATTCATGCCATCCGTAAGATCCAACGTATTATTGTAGAATAGTCGAAAGCAGTGCATTTGAAGTTGTGTAAAATAGCCAAGGTTCATCGATTCCGTTCTAACGGTAGTCTGCAGTTAGACGAAAATTCGTTGAAAAATACTTTAAGCCAATAAATTAAAGGGCAGAGTATCGTACAAATGATTTGGGATGCTTGAGCTGGTCGCCGATCGTTGCCTGGAATATATTTCGGCAATTTTCTACAGTTGATTATGCATTGCTTGTTCGGAATTGAGAGATTCGAGTAATAAGATAAAACCTTTGTTTCCATGAATTAACATACTTTTGTATTGTATTATCTTTTGTAATATTGTTCAGTTTTTTTGTTGGTTTATTGGTCCTTATTTGTCTATTTCTCCTATAGCTCAATTTTAAGAAAGGGGATATTATCACAATTACTCAGCCCCTGGAGGGCGGCTGGTTTGAGGGCACTCTGCGAGGCGTCACTGGTTGGTTTCCCGCAAACTATGTTATTGATTATTGGGGGAATGCTGGCGTCGAACCAGCTATTGAGGCACAGGCCGCAGAGGCTGCTGAACATCGCGCAACACTCTTAACGAACATTATCAAAACTGAAGCAGCATTTGTCAGAGATCTCGACGCATTCATGAATTGTGAGTACATTTGTGGTATTTAACGGTAGCAACTAACTGAGTGCGTAGCGTAAATTAAAATAGATTCTGTCCATCGCTGAGATTAGAAACACTAAGTAGCATGAGTGGTGTCGAATCATATCTATTCTATTTTGTGACTTCGATATGATGACAAAACAAAGATGTTTTGAAGGCATCCTTTCAGTTGGGGCTTTAAGGTAAGCCTACAAGCCCAAGCCTTTAAGATTTCAAAAAGGGTTCACACGTTTGATCTGCGTGAACTGCTGATATAAAGAAACGAAAACTAACTTCGTGCCTTGCCTGTTTTCTTTTACACAGCAACACTACAATCGGTCTGGCGCTTGTTTGGAGTTGAATATGATCTAATTAATCGCCATCTTGAGCTCATCCTTGAAGCACACCGAACACTCCTGTCAGGTCTTCGAGCCGAAGCGTCCAGACACCCGAATAAAGTCGGCAAGGTGTTCTTAGCCATTTTTCCTCGACTGCAAAGCGTTCATAGAAATTACTGCGCCCTTCATCCCCGAGTTATCAAGCTAATAATGAATTCGAGTGCGATAACAAATGCCAGTCTAAATGGTGCCACGAGTAACAATAACAACAATAATGTACCTAACATGCTCAAATTAAGCGTCGGCTTGTCAGCGCCATTCAAACGAATGGAGAAATATGAAACGGTTCTCGAGGAGCTGACCAGGCTTACAGCCGAGAACCACCCGGATCGCGGGGACTGTCAGAGGAGTTGCAGTCTTTTTCGTGAGCTCGTTCAGGAGATAGTAGCATTGCGACGACGGAAAGACGTCGAGACCGAGATGCTTAATGCCAACATACGTAACTGGGATGGCGCACCGATTTCAAACCTCGGCGAAGTTCGCCTCACGTGCCCAGTCACTGCGCAGTGGCAGAACGGCCGAAAAGACCACTATCTCGTCGTGTTCGATTCAGCTGTCATACTTGTGTCACTCTATAACCCGAATGAGTTCCAGTTGGACTGCAAATTTCCTCTGGAGCAAACAACTGTCACTAAGATGGATAAGCATCTATCGTTGGAATTTGCGTACCAAAATACGAGAGTTCTCGTGACATTTCACTCACCTGAGGATTTGGAGAAACTTCGAAGTCGCGTGGACGTCTACGCGACGGTACAGAAACGCAACTCATCGAAGTCAGTAGACGGAGGTTTGTCCTTGGTACCGACTGTGTCCAGATCAGGAGCCAACGGATCTCGACCAGGGACCCCAGATCAGATGCTGGATGTTAACATTAGTCAACAGATGACTGCATGGCCTTGCCAGCAGTCATCGAGGGTATCACGGCCAACGTCGCCTGCTTGGCCGAGACCGCCATCTCAAAGGTACGATGATCATATTGCGGATTGGTTAGTATTCTGTTTTTAAATGGTAGAATAGCTATCGTCCGCAGTTTTCATAGGACGGTTCAACCCACAGAACGATAAAATATTTATGTGCGAGAAGAATCAGCATTTATAGGAGCACATTAAGTCAATACTAATTTAATATAGGCAGCTTTAAATTTTTTCTTCTGAACCGCAACTTTTAGTGGATTTGAAGCAGTTTATCGATACTGAAAAGTAGGTTAGTTTTTTAGCTCGATTGGAGTTTAAAGGTATGAAAGAACCCAAGAAAGCTGGCAATGAGGCGCTACGTGAATGGTAGGCATTTCTGGCTTGTCAGAACCGCAAATATACTTTTCATTGACTGTAGCTATAGTGTGGTTTCATGAAAGGCTCTAATCACCTGACTCCGTATTGGCATTCACTTAGGTCACATCAACAGCAGAATCAACAATGTGGTTCACCGTTGGACACAGCTTCAGGCCATTCTGAGCTGCCAGCATCAAGGATGAGTCTCATGGTATCAAGAATTCGAGGCGTCTTACCCCATACAAGAATGTAAGTATTAAACGCCTGCAATGTATATATATATATATATATATATATATATGGTTGATCGAGAGGATATATACAGTTTGGGGTACCTAAAAGAGGACTTCTTCTAGTAAGCTAAGTAAGTGACTTAATAAGCTGCTTCTTAGATGGTATCGAAACCAAAAAAATATCTCGACAAGCTTTTTCAACGAAAGGTGCAAAAGTACGCGGAAAGCCTCAAAAAGGAGAACCCATGTGGACAACCCAATGGTTGATTGATACTCTGTTCTCCTAACGGTCGTTAATTTTTATGCAGAAAGGTCTGAGTGTATTAGTAATAGCTTTTCGGCCATTTTGATAAACTCTTGAGCCTTTTAAATTGAAACTCTGTCGAGAATGGTCCGGTTTGCCTTTTGGAAATCTTCTGATGACTTTTCAGAGGCCGCTTGAAAACTGATAATAACGTAGATTGCCGATTACGGGTAGAAAAGAAAGTTTATAACCTCAATGGGGGTTCGATTCGCGTGAACATATTCGGTAATAGCTAACCTTCGCCGAAATTCTAACAACTATGCACTGTTCTTCGCCACGAGGAGTTAGCTGTTTGTTGTAGAAGAAACTGGTTTCCGTTTGGTACAAAAGTTATAAAACGAACTATATTGTACGACAAGCGGCCTGCCAGATTTTATCCAAATTTAATTCCCTGCCCTGTACTTGGCAAAAGCCACCTAGCAGTTTGCGAGTTACCATTTTACAGCTGTTAAACTAGCAAGAGAGTGAAATGTAATAAAAATAAGATTAAAAAGGAAGTAAAGACCCTTAAACTCTCAGGGGACTTTTGAATCGTCAGACGATTTTGCCCTATCCTGCATATATTAAAGACCCTTCCTTGTATACCGTGCACGCCCTTTTTATGATGTCACCACTACAAGGAACCACCGTTTTCATAGTGGTGACATCACGTAACCGGACCGGTTTCCACGGTGCCGACAAAAAATTTTCTGTTTGTTGGAGTTGAATCTTCTTAGTTCCAATAAGTCCGGAAAATATTGCTTTGTAGTGTCAGTTCTAAGCGTACATATTATTGGTAGAGAACGTGACGATGTTCGTGTCGGGTGTTATTGCACCATAAGCAGATGCATGAACTCCAATTATTCAAAACTATCGCTAGGTCCCACCTGAAAATCAAGCCTGGAGCTTCATCAACTGCCCTGCCTATCACACCAGCGGAATAGAACAGTGATTACCGGACCGATCTGTTAGTGGGAGAAGCGCTAACCTGCTGACAGTGTTCAAATGTATTTAAGAAGTTGGTCTTCCATTCGTTGCACGTGAACTAGTGTTAAACTCAATTGCGTTACGTCCCACAAAATGATTTTAACACAAACTAAACTAACGCTATAATACTGTGTAGTATATAGATTCTCGCTATATTTTAAAGACCTATTCGTCGTCTTCAGTACCAGGAACGGCATTAGCGAAAAATTGCTTGTTTGTTGCCATTTCTCAAATGCTTGTCTTCTTCTTCGAGAGATCAAGAGAAGAGGAATACTCATAAATAAAGGACCAGTAAAAGCAATCATTGAGGTATCTTTGTATCCAATTTAATCACTTGTCGATGCTTGTTTTCTGCCTGAATGTAGAACAGATAATCTTGCACTCTCTTTTGAAATAATTTAAATTTGTATCGTGACCATATATGTTTCCCTATACAGCTAGACTTCGAATATTTGTGTCGTACATAATAAAAAAAAAAGTATACATGAATCTGAAAATAACTATTTAAAGTATCATTCAGTCGTGCGCAGAGTGGTTCGTTGAATTCAATGTTCCCGTTTTTATGCGCCCTATCTATCGACCAGTATGAATCAGTCAGGCGCGATCTAAACTAAATAGTAAACAACAATTTCAAATATATCTAGGCTATAATACGAAATAGATTCAATTTAAACTTACCGTGATCTACATCGAGACTCGATCTCCAGAGTCACCTGCTATCGAAACGAACTTGGCTACGGGACTATCTCACTACGTCGTTTTTGATTGCTAAAATTTATAGCCGCAGTTAGCTGTTTTCATCCGTGGCGTAACTATATGTCATTACAAATTTATTCTTTCATTTCACCGTACGGGCCCAGACAGGCTGCATTGCCTGAAATCGCAGTGAAAGTCAATTTGTCAACTTGTTGCAGCATAAAGTCTGCATCAAATCGGATTCCAACGGTACTTATTCTTTTGGACGTGAGTCGATGGACGTAGCACGGGCAAACGTCCGATCGCCGTCACCACTCAGAGTGTGACAACTTGAGACAAATAGAGGGTTTTAGTGGGTCAATGCCGAGTAAACAAAGGTCTAAAGCTCACACTGACAAGGATTTAATTGAGTGCTCAAGCGGTTGAGAGATTAGTTGACTGCAGAAGACTGCAGAGTAAAATAAGGAGGATAAGATACAACATATATAATAATGTGCGACCGCGGTGACTGTACCGGTTGTTGTTTACATTACGTTTCAGTAACCAACTATCCATTGCATCTAAGGCGGAAGACCGTTTTAAGCTCCTACTGACCAACAACAGTTTTATCGAGGAAGTGTTTTTGAGTATTTCTCTGGTTGTCATAAATGTCATTAAATTTGAGGCGTAATGTGATTTCGGATTAATCAGATTCACTTGATTTCTAAATATCATGCGCTTCGATATTGTCGCTTCCGAGAAAGAATTTCAATGGGCGGCGAACGTTTATCATATAGACTTTCTTCGAAGCCGCCCACTTTGGTCGTTGAACGTGAGTGCCAATAGGCCGGTCGCGTTGTCGCTATTCATTGCTCTCTAATTCTTTCCGAAGTCGTTGTTGGCTCTTCATCGATCCTTCAGTAGATACAGTTCGCCAGAATTCCCGCGCCAAAATATGAAAGCACATTTTCCGGTGGTCAGTGAACGTCGGTGTCTAATGGCAAAACGAGTCTCGGAGGCCTTACCGTATGCTCCTTCCCTTTCTCTCTCTCGCTCTCTCTACTTCGAGCACCGGCGACGAAACGGTGCGATCGTCTTTTTGTGGATGCGACCAGCGAGACAAAAGTTGTGTGAGAACCACGTGTTCTGAACCGGCTGTGACACCATGAACCGAGTGCTCTCCTTTTGATTGCAACGCGATAAACAAGCCGACAGCAACAGACCGGGACGAATCTATGAAATGTTGTTAATAGCGAGGGAAGACAAGCAGGGAAGGTGTGGCGTCGTATTTGAGGACGGCGGCAGCAGGTTTAGCGTAAACGAACTTGGAAAGTAAGCGTCAACTGAACACGTCTGAACTGTCCGGAGGATCTATTGAGTATGTGCTTTCGAGCGCTACCACGTCGGCAGTACTTGCGGTTGCCACCGCAGAGCGGACGCCTCTCAGATCAACTTTTTCTCAACAAAGAGGCAGTCCCCTCTCGATGTAAAAGAGTAAGATTGCTATAAGAGAGAGGTTAGCTTTACTCCGCGCACTTGGGCGATAGCACCCGGCAAACATACATAGTTTGGTTGTGTAGTTTGGCAACGGACGCTCAGCGACGATTAATAAGACTACAGGAGATTAGACTCCTAGGAAAGATGTTAGTGCAGCCAGTTAGCTAATTTGCTTCTAGATTACACTACGTTTATATAGAGGATACGCCGCTGAAACGATTTATTTCATCTTCATCACATTTCCATCGCCTCCTTCACGCTCGGACAAGTTCGATCAGGACAAATTTAGCTAAGAGAGGCTGATCAAGTGTTGACCAAGGGCGTTTCTCTACTTAGCAGTTGCCGTTTCTCCCTGCTTCTTTCGTACTCGCTCGCTTTCTATCTAGTCCAACTCCGGCAAATATCAGAACTCGCTGTCAGACGCAGGCAGTGCTCATGAGCAAGAGAAAAGCATGGCAGCAGCGAAGCTGTCAGACCACCTAGATTTCTTAGGATCATCGTTATGAAATGGGGATAACATAACTCGTAGTGAGTCGTTGCAGATCATTAGGACGATGACGAAGCGAGAAAATTTCTAGGACAAAAGGTTTCACTGAGTATTCGTTAACATTGCTATGGCACAGGTTCGCTTAGTCAACGGATTGTTGTATTGAGCGTAAATTTTATAGGCGACACATACTGACGACTGTGCGCCGCAGAAGCGGTGAGCTCATTATTGTCAACTGACAGCTTCGGGAAATAATTAGACGTAATTTACCTCTTATAGGGTATGACATCTGACAATAAAAACAGATACTGATGTAAGCGCTAACTTCGGACATGTTACAGAAAAGTGCCGCTGCAGAAGGAGGCTGTTCCTGGCTTGAAGAGAGGATCATCTGCCCGAAAAAACAAAAAAGAACTTCCTACGCCCATTCTTCGTAAGTAGAATCTACGAAAACTGTGATAAGAGATCGATTGATATGGTCCAAGGAAGACGTTTTTCTTGCAGACTTATATATAGTAGCTATACGTTTTCGAAGTAACCTGTTCTATCTTAAGTAAACTGCAGCATCCCTCATCGGTCGCAGTGTCATTCCTTGCCTTTGAATATCTGTGACTCCCCTCAGACTTCCTCATCCCCGAAACTGCTATTAATCTGATTTAGTAACAAATTCAGAAGAAACTGGGTTACGCACGACGCGTACCCAAACGCGAACAGCAGCCCATATCTTTGAGGAATATTTTCAGTAATCTGACAAATGGTAATAAATAATTCATTCAAAGTCATTCATGTAAGTGTCGCACTTCCGTATTGTTTTGCTGCAGGTAGCAATCTAGTAATCAGTTAGTATAATGCATTTTCGAAACGCTACGTACGTCCTATTTCATCTACTTTATTGACAAGCGAATGTATTCTGTCGGTATGTCCATTGACGTTCAGCTCCGGAGCCACCGTTCAACACCGTCGACTACGAACGAGACCTGCAGATCCTCAAAGTGGTTGAATCAGTTGCGAATCTCTCAAAGAAGCCAACCCCTTCCATCCCTGTTGGGTCTTTAGCGGCTGCCGGCGCGACATCGGCCGGGGGATTGAGTTCGTTACCGTCGGTTCGAATTTCTACCGTGACTGCTCACAGCGGGTCCCCAATGGACGGGGATGGAGTTCACGGGGCGGTAGGACCTGGGAGGCCACTCAGCATTTCGCCAGTATCCCCGGGGGGAACCGATGGACACGCGGCAAGCATTAGAAACGTTCAGAATGACATCGCATTTCTCAAAGAGGTAGGGCAGGTACTTGTAATTAAAACTTTTTTATAATCTAAAAGCATTGCGTTAGTGCATGGCCAACTGAAGTGCTTTACTGGGCCATTGGATAACGGTTGTCGTTACCACTACTCTTTGACATGCTTCATGTATTTGTAAGCATATGCGACCTTATTTGTTTCTACAAGTATGCATTGTTAGACAAAACCACTAGGAGACAGATGTCTGTAAGCACACAAGCAGGCGTCGCGTAATAGTGTCACTCGCGTCGACTTCTGCGTGTCTGCACAAGTTACAATGCATTGACCCTTGACGATTAGAAATAATCGATATGACGGCTTATAGAAAAAATGGGTCGAAAAATATCAGCGCCTATGTGCAGACGTGTCGATAAATCACTGAAATTTATAAGCAATTGATTGACTCCTAGTCGTATCTAGATTCGAGTGGCCAATATATTTATATTGCGGTTGACCGACGAGCGTGAATGACTGAGCTGTTTTTTTTAATAAGGTTTGACTAATACTGCCTACGAGCTTTCGGGTCCGGCAGAGCAATGTCTATCTAGCGTAAGGATTTATTGAATTGTCTGCTTGATCATTTACGTCTTGTACTATTCTTCTATATTGTGATGTAGCGGCAGCGGTTATTCAAGGATTGTTGACTGAGTGTGTCCTAATTGTGTAGAGTGATGACAAAAGTCTACTGTGGCTAAGAGTGATTTAGGATTCTATAAGATATCACGACGTTCTTTGATGAAAATAATGGTCACTAGCACACTCCCCGAAATGGGAAAACTGTTTACGATCTGGCTGTCAGATCTGCAACGGAATATTCATTAACTGTTCAAACTTTAACTGCACGCCCTTAAAATGAGTGCGTATACAGATGCACACATATAGCGCCGTTTCAATTGTTACAGTGTGGTAAAACTGTCACATGAAGAGAACGCATCCATTAATTCGATTACAAGTACCACAACCATAGAAACATTCGTCACGAATTATATCTCACCGTCCTTAGCTTTAATTATAAATATGTCACCCGAATGAAACCATTAAAACCAAGCCAAAATGCCTGTTAGCTCTGTGATCGAAACTATCAGGCGGTTTGCAGACCCTGTGACAACAAGAAGGATCCGAAATATATATTAGAAGTAAGGCAGCCATTTTCCTCGAATCCAGCGTGCTTTCCTATGGGAACGTGGTTGGCTGTCCGAAAAATTAGAACCAAACACCATAGTACTGTACGCATTTTATTTAATTTAGCTCGTTCTCTTTTGCTAGCTACTATAAGCCAAATTTTATAATTTCTTCGTTCACCAGTGCGTGAATTTTAGCCATTATTATTATCGTCAATATTCTATAGTATTTGTTTCCCTTTATAGGCGGTATACAACTTATACAATTCTACACCGCAAATAGCTATGATTGTAAATAATGTTGCCTTTATCTACAATCCTGTTGTATTTTTTGCTTTTCCAGCAAGTGGCCAAATTGCAGGCCGAGCTGCAAGAGGAACGCCGACAGCGAAGAGCTCTTCAGGATCAAGTTAATCTTTTTTCGTCCGTAAAAAGAATGTAAAGCTGATATCTATCTGCTTGATATCGATTTTGTCGACATTTTATCGCACTGCCAAAACAGTGCGACAAAATGAATGTTGCAACGATAAAAAAAAAATGAAAGCCTGCGCTAAATGAACGAATCAAACAATCGAGCTCATTTTTTCAACCAACAAGCTGCATGGCAATACATTTCAAAGTCGCGTCAACAAACGATGATATAGGATGGACGAACCTCCAGTCCCGAGTCCGCTTGGTCCTCGTACCCATCACGTCCTTGTAACTCTCACGCACATTTCTCTCTAATTAGTTCTGTTAGAGCTACGTGTCGTATCTGTGTGTTATCCTACCCATTGTCTTTGTCGTTCATTCTTTGAACACGCATGTATTCGTAATACCGCTGCGCGCTATGTTTTTGATGACGTGTCGATGTTAGGAGCAAATCATTGCCACTATGATCGCTCGTTACATGGGGACAAACGTAACGTTACCTATTAAACTTTAGTTCCCAATTTTATAGGTGTTGGCGTTCATTTTTGTAAGTGCACAGCCGTTTTTTTATTGTTCCTTGCTTTGCTTTAACAACATCGAAAAAGCAGAGCGCCTCGAAAATTACTAGATGCTATCTTCCGCACCAACTTTGTAAATAATGCGTGGCATCCTTGTTAACTTATAGACGTTAGAAATATTAGACTAACTTCTTAAATTATGGATATCTCTCGTACGACCCACCTGGTCACTTACTCAACCGCTATCTCGTTATCAATTTGTACCTTGTGGCTATTGCTTTTTTGTCTCCTACGTACCCCCACCTACATCAATTTTTCGACCTAATTTAACCTACAGAGGTGCATATTTCTGACGAATGCTTGAAATCTGCTGTGTATTATGGAAAATCTGTGCCCGAATATGAAAGATCCGTTAATGCTGACGACATGTATGTACATATTGCAATTCAAGCATCTACGAAAATCTCTCCAGTCAAGCTATTACTAAAAAGGAGTTCTAAACCAACAACTGCGTAGGAAAGAACGAATCTGATCTATAACTTAACGCGAGGGAAGCAGTCCTTAGTAAGCGAGAATATGAGAAGAAAATCATATTAACTTGTTGGGATTCGAAACTAAGATCGAAAAGCGCTGTATGCACCTACATACACGCATTCACACGTTTCGGAAAGTCGGAGAAGTAACACCAGTCACCAACTCTAAGACGATTCGTGGCAATAGGGGTGCAGTAATACAAAATTACTATAAAGAGAAAAGCAGACAAACACTTAATAAACGTTAGCTCCGTTCGGTGCAAAAAAACTAACATGTACAAACGCTACACCGTATCGACATGGCACGTCGCTGTTCGCACGCAAGCTTTTTGTGCCAAACAGATTTACAGTTGACCTGGAGAATAAGTCGGAGCTTATATACATGAACGCTACTATATACACACATATATTTCTCTATGGACATATTATATTTATATCTGCAAAATAGCAAAACGCCTAAATGGGCCCCAGTAGCAAAGTGCGCTTGTTGTTAGGAGTTCTATTGTACAAAGACAATAATTAAAAAATAATACACTGACAGATCGCAACTGACAAATAAATGCCTACATATCTCGACAATGAGTCAACAAGTTATCAGTGTACTGCAGAATGATGAGATTTTCGAAGATATGTAGTTTGCTTCGTAAACTAGGGGAAGTGCTCGTCTTGGCTGTTATTAATATTTTACTAATTTACAGTAATTAGCGGTCGATGCCCTAAGTGGATGTTAACTGTTGTTTTAGCTGGGACCCTAACCCGACGGCTGTACCAGTGATAAGATATCGGAGTCAATTACATCTGCGAAAATATATTAATCTAAAAGGACATTCAATAGAGATCTAGAGTATTATAGTACTTTGCAGTTAGAAAACAAAGCTCGAATCCAATCGGGTCTTCGAGCTCTCAATTCGAATCGCAGAGACGAGAATAACAAGCTAACCTCACCTGTAGAATGACCAAAATAATCGAGCTGGCTATTGAAAACAATGAATAAAGTGTTACCTAAGAATTTAGGCCATAATAGCTGTCATTTCGATATTTATATCACTTAGGTAATAATGGAAAGTAGCGCGTACGTCACGCGTCATTCTCCGATCGCTGCGTGGCGAAGGTCGGAGACAGATCTCTAAATAAACGATACGACATTTAGACGAGTGCTAAAATTATGTGGAATCGACAACGAGGCTCAAAGAAATCCTCTGCCAATTCAGGTATCTTATTTAAAATACAATAATTGTATTCAAATCGAACCTGTACCAATTAGGACCCGAAGTGTTTATTTCTTAGTTAGTTGCGTAATGTGTCGTTTTCGAGACAGGACATCTTATAGCATTATTAGTCTCGGACCAAACAATATGCAGAGCTGAAATTTTTTTAAATAGTTAGCTGGACAATTTGAAGTGCATTGTTAATCATTTGAGTTTTCTGATAAATTATAAAAATGAACGTGGGCCTTCTCTTGCGGCCCAAGTAACGTATTAAAAGCGTTATAACGCGGCTGCGAGTTCTCGTTCTGGCTCGATTTTTGCCCTTCTTTTTCACCAGAATTCATCTAAGATATTGTTTAAAACATTACAGTGGCTTTGTGTTTTATGCAGCAGAATACTTTCATAGGTATCTTCAAAGCGTCCTGGGTTTTTCTGCTTCTCCTGGTGCCCCTTCTCAGCTCGAACCCACCTGTTCGCCTTTAGGTCAAGTATGCCAGTTGGTCCTGTCGGTATTAGGTGGGTGAGCGCTGTAGCAGCGTAGTATGTTTGTCGCGAGGAGCTCGTTAAGGCGCAAACGAGTACAGTAACTCATGAAGGGACGATCGGCTTAACTCAGCGGATGCCCAGCGATATCGAAAGAAACGTTTTTGCATAGCCCAAACATGAGACGAAATGGCGAAAAATACTACAATGAAATAGACCCACCAGCACAAGGCGTTTGGCACCTGCTGCCAAACCGAATGCATACGCCTCTTAAAGCAGTCTTTAAGCAGACCCAGATGAACAGAGCTCGTGAGCGATGGTTACTGAACGCAGAGGTCACTGAGCGATTTTTTAATAGTAGAGAAATAAATGCCCGTTTCAGCCAGTAATTGCCGATTTGTCCAGTTTATGAAATATTTTTAAATTATCGATTTATACAGATTTTTCGTTTGCAATTATATTATCGTTTCCTGTCGACTTGTTACACAATTATAATCGACACCAAGCAGATTTTCGAAAAATATTGTATCTTTGAATTTCTGTTTCGTTTTACGTATTGTACGCTCACGTTATAACGTAAGCTTCTCTGAAGCACTTGCTTTATCTGGGAAACTCCTTAGTCGTTATTTGTTTGTTATTCTTTGAGAAGATTCGAATTTCAAAACCTGTTTCTTTCCCATCTCGATTTGGTGTACTTTCTCCGCATTTCTATTGTCTGCGTCTTTTTTGATTTTCCCAGCGGCATCCATGCCGTTCGTTTTTTTCTTCTAAACGCCACCATCTTCAAGTGACTTTTCCCCCTTGAAAGTGTCTTCTCGACTCCGCTCTGGCAGTACAATAAGTTCGGCCCGGCAGCGCGTCACCCGCTGCGCTTCTCCGCCCTGCGCGGTTTTCGGCAAAGACCGCTTTTTTTTCAGCTGCTGCCGCCGCCGCTGCTGCTGCTGCTGTTCTATCGTCGTCGGAACATCAACGTCGCCATCATCAGGAGCATCGTAGGTTATTTTCTCATCGGCACTTTGTACGCACATCCATTGAAGGAGAGAAAAAGCTGAAAAGAAGTGCCGGAGACGGCTGACTCGCCAGCGCGGCTGCGACAACCCAGACACCAGCGCAGGGAGGCCGCAGGAAAAGCCAGCTGTGCCAAACAGAGATACATGGACACAATGAAAGAGAAAGGGGGAGAGCGCGAGCGATCGGATGAGTGGCTGCTTGATTCAAGCCGCTCCCTCTTCATCAATGAAGAGCTGTAGTTGACGTGCCAGCCGCCCGGGGGAGCCACAGTTCGGCCGTCTCGGCCCGAACTCAGCTCAGAAGTGCGTATGTGCGAAGTTACGATATGGCTATAGTTGCCGTTAGCAATCATATTCCCGCTAACGAGACGAACGCCCTATCGCAGAAGTCGAGATAGCCGTATTTATAAAGAGGACGGTTCGATTTGGGATAATGATGGGTATTGTTGGGTGATATGCTATTCAGGGAGCGATATCTTCACTGGGGATTTTTTTAGCTGCTGATTAGAAGTTCGCTAAAACGTTGCTCATCAAGGATCACGTGGAACGTTTGTTAAATAGCAAGCCGTCAAACAGTTAAATAAAGCCATTTGTTTTAGTGTATTGCGTTAATATTACTCGTATTTTTGCTACATAAATGTTTCGAACTTTACAGCCTGGTGATACCGCCTTTTTAAGGTATTGCATCAGGCATGGGCCCCAGCACGAAACGAAGCGTGGTTTTTTCCCAACTTCGAACCTTGACCATCTGGTGCCATTATGGTTAGTAAGCCAATGGTTAATATATGTGAAGTAGAACATATATGTTGAAGAATAAATATACTTTCTCAAAATGTCGAATCTATTCACACACTGTAATATAATATCATATACTTACATTATGTATCGTTACGTAACAGAATGTCTGTAAAGGAAGTTACCTGACTCTTCAGTTCAATTATGTGATAGTTACTTTAACACTATGCTTCTCCGCCTATCTCAGTTTTTTTTTTCTTCTCTACGTAATTTCGATACAACATTCTAGTGGCCTTAACATATTCTAGAGAGTTTTCAAACGTTTCTACGAAACGAAAACCACTATTGAATTAATAAAAATAGATACAACAATAAAACAATATAACAAACAGAAAGTGTTTTAGGTGTAGTTGGCTGCGGTCAGTCAGTACGCCGTCAGCTCTGGTTGAATCTTAAACCTGCTCTAAAAATTGTAAATCTAGATTTCAGCCATCGAATTTTTTCAGTCTGGAAGCTAATTCTTTATTCTCATCAATGCGACCGTTTGCAGAAAATTTGACGTAACGTGTTACAATCTCGTTAAGGTCACAGTCTAAATTCGAATCACTGCAATTTAACGATATATTATTCAAAGAAAAAATTTCCTTCGTTTATTATAAAAGCCATGACGGATCTTTGTTATCCACAAAATCTGTCGGTCATTTTGCTTTAATATTTAACTATACTTACTTACACGTGACGTTTGCTGGCACCTACCATATATATTATATGGATTGATAAATATTTGACTACTGTAGCAAAGCATGGACTCATTGACGCCTGTGAAATGGTTTTAACGAAAGTAAATGATCGCAGCTCGAAGAAAGAAGGTGCGCATCAAAGCTTCTCCTCTTTGCATTAGGAAATAATTCGGTTTCCTTGCTTTTAGTTAGTAAATCAGCCTATTTGGCCGATAAATGTTTACAGTATCTCAGGATACAGAACAACAGAGTGTTGTGTGTGAACAGTTCTATGTTTATTCCTTTCTTCCATACTTCTAACGAGCCATCATTTCGTTTGATCATCGTCTATACTATAATAGCATTTTATTCTCGACGGTAACCATCGGTCGGTCGACTTTCCGCTTTTAGTTACCCCCTTCGTTGTACAATCGCTTAAGTAAATTGGTCACAAATTTGTGCATCACACTTACAGCGCAGGTAAAGCGCCGACACTACGGCCCAGAATTCGCGCGCTTCGTTTGAATTGCACAGCGGCCCACAATATGCACCGCTTTTCCGTGGGACAGAAGCGGCTGATCACGAGCAGATCGTGTCGATCAGATGCAATCTTCAACATCTCGCACTTTGTGGCTTTGCTTTTATTTTCGGTATATCTAAGAAGAAGAGGCTCCCTGTACAATCCATGCCCAGCCAAGTTAGGCCGACGGACGGCCCACAGGCATCAGCAGGTCGCCACTGGCCAACAACAGTAGTGACCGAATCAAACTTTATCGAACAATGCGTAATAAATGTCAATTTCAATACGGAAAATTCTTGCTGAATCGTCAGCAAAAGGAGAGAATAGCAAACAAAAGATAATAGTCTATTTTGCTTTTGCTTGCTCTGCTTGTTAAGCCCGGGCCGCTGTTAAGAATGGTTAACATGCATTCCGTTCCAACAAGATGGCAACTGAAGGACGTCTTTCTGACCATTACAAAAAAAATTCCGAAAAAGGTAAATCTAAAACTCTAGAAAATTACTTCTGCTCTCACGTGGGCCTGGTTTTCGCCCAGGCGTAGGCGATGCCTGCCTACTTCGTCGCTCATGCCGTTTTGTTTATGTCTCCTTATAATTTTCCCTCTAATGTTACTCGACCATCTATAATCTTCGGTGGCAAAATAGCAAAGAAAAACCACGCAAAGACAACCGAAGAAAAAGCTTGTAGAACTGACAAACTTATCATTACTTTTAAATTAACTGTATTGCTGTGAATTTTTTTTTAACTCGATGAACTGCAGCTCGATTCATCTGACCATGGGTTCTGCGCCACCGTGGGTTTGCTTTTTGGTTCCATCGGCACCTACTGGCATTTCAGCGGTAGCCGTCCCATCGAAACGGAACACGAGTACCTTCGGAACTCGCGTATGGAGCAGCAAAGGCAACAGCGCTCCATCCACTCTGTTTTACCTCATGTTCCCCTTTCAGCGGTAGATAGTAAAAATCACTGCTTATAACAGTCAGTCTGGCAGCGAGGCAGGCAGTCCGATAGATAGACAGACATTCGGCTAAACTTTAGCCAGCGACAGTTCGCTCGCTAGCTAGCCAGCTCCCCGGTCGTCGCAGCGGCCAGCTCCAAGAGACAGCGAGCAGCGCCCAGACTCGGCAGCTCTCGCTGTTGTGCAGAGACGACCACGGCGAACAGAGCCCCTCAGCTCATTGTCGTTTGTCGTCTGCTACTGTTGGTCCTGCCGCCGCTGCTGCCGCTGCTTCTCGTTGGTTGTCGTTTGGCTACTGGCTGAATCGTGCACAACCACATCACCAGTACCGTCCGGGTTGATTGAGAAGACGAATACGGGTAGGGATAGGACGGCGGGACGGCAACGGCGAACGCAGAAAAGGCCACAGACTCAGGGCCGAGACAATATTAAGGATAACAAACGCGAATTCTAGTGGCGTTGGTGTCTGTGTCGTCGAATTCTCCGGTGGAACAAGCGGACGAGTGGGTGCGAACGTGCTAAATATCGAAGAATAAACAACACTGCTGCGAAGTGTTCAGCCTACGACACCGCAGTCTGTTCTCGTGATCGTTTGTTGATTGTCGTCGAACAGTGGCGTTGACTTGCGACTAGGCAGCGAGATAGTGCATGTTCCGTTTAGCTGCTATGAGTGTTTCTGCAGCTGGCTCCTATATTAAAACGCGGGGACGGTCTTACAGCAGCAACGATCTGCGTGCGACTCAGGAAAGAGGTATACAACAGTAAGCCAGTATCGTCAGTGGAACAGCAAAATCCGTTGTAACTGAACAACTGACCACAAGCACTCTGAAAAAAAACAGAAAAATAGTAATAAATATTAACGCTAAAAGTCACACCGTTAAGCTAATGTGTCGATTGCCAGATTTGCGCTTGTAATCTCACTTGACATTATAGCTGAACCTTGTTTGAGCAGCCAGCTCAAAGGGCATGTTTACTTGCCAAGCTGACTCGTAATAAAATTGTGTCAGATCAACGTACAATCGAGCGCCATACGCAAAAGCCACAGCTGCTAACAGCTGCTGCCGGATGTAGCGCGGCCGTTTGTTTATCAACAGTGTACGGAGCTTGTTGGTGTCATCATCGAATTGAAAAAAAATTCTAGTGACGCAGTGACCTACGCAAGTACAGACGCTGAGGTGCAGTTACGGACGTTTGTTAATGATACCATATCATATCTATGGAGTAGTTGCCGGTTTCCGGATACTTGTGGTATTAGGAAGGCCATTACCGCCGCCGCCAGATTGTGGTAGTGCTGCTTCCAGTAGAATCTGTAACCCGGATAGGTTGATGCTACAGTATATCGCTTAGCTAGTTGAGGAAATGCTGGTTTGTTCTTTGGTACAACAAAATCAGTGGTGTCAGCAACAACAGGAACAGTCCACCGAATGGCTAAAGAAGGACGTGCCAGCAATCATCTGCAAGTCAGCTCCAAAGTCATCGTAGTCAGATGATTCGAAGATCAATGAAATACTAGAAACCGACGTCTCCAAGCATCACAGCTGGGAGACTCGCTCAAGAAGCTTGTTGACAGCACTGCGTGTCGTGAATTGCATTGCGGCAATCATCACTTCCCCACGCCGCAAACCGTCAACGCCACGAATCACGGTAAGGCCGTTGACGGCGTTAACGTGGAACGGAATAATTGATCGTCGACGTGTTGTTCGGTAGCGATAAAGCGTTGGCGCACTGCCCAGTGTCCATATCGGGAACGAAGGTTTTGCGCGAGTCTCGGGCCTCAACGCGCTGTTGTGTGCGACGTGTATTAGTATCCTTATCTGTTTAGTGTGTAATTGGTGTTTGAGTCGGTGACCAATGGCTCCTGCTATGGATACCCTTACGACAGAGGAACAGCGCCAGGTCGTTGAGCTTGTGCAGGACTTCTTTCGGTATCAACTACACAAACGGGGCGTCCGGTGGAATCCCCCAGGCGTAGGAGCGACTACGGCTGATCCTCCAGACATCTGTATGGCTCTTCGTGGACTCGGTGACGAGTTTCTAGCGAAATATCGGGAAAATGTCGTACAGATGGTGGAACGGTTTGACCTGCCCAATGGCTATGTGGAACCGGCGTACGCTTCGGTTCTGGATGAAATGTTCGCCGAGGGCATTTCATGGTCGCGAGTTGTCGTTTCGTTCGTTTTTTCCGTCGAATTTGCCTATCATCTTATAGAGAAGCAGCTGGCAGGCGAGCAATGCATCGAACAGACTTCTCAGTGGCTTATGAACTACACCGCTTTGCGAGTTGTACCCTGGGTGCGAACGCATACGGGATGGGTAAGTGAGGCTGAAGCACATTAAATGCTGAAAATGGAAGTTAGCTCACTGGTAATGTTTTACAAATTTAATTGAACATACAATCCTGAATACGATCTAATCAATCATGTCGTTTCATGTTTCGTCGGAGCATTTTCCAAAGCCCAAATCCCAAATACTTTCGAATGCTATACTCTAAAATCGTATAGATATAACTGAACTTCTCTTTGTTTCATATCTATGTGATAAGAATAACAGACGACAAGTGTTTGAAGACATGTCAGCGCAAAATGCAATATTTAAATTGACTGTGTAGACACGCATAATCACGTGGCCTATCTACTAGGCTAATGAGATGGCTACCGTTTTGTATCTATAGGACATATGTATTTTCAAGATGCCAGTACAACGTTTTCAGGACGTAGACGCATGTGTAAGCTGACCCTTTTGGAAAGCAATAAAAGCGCTTCCTCAGACGACAGCATGGGTCGTAAGAGATTGGCAGTTATACACAACAAAAGACGTCATCATCACAATCATCACTGGTGATAAATATTCACATTAACTAAAATAACCGCAGAAATAGTGTTGGCTCAGCTGGACGATCAGGGGTTATATGTAAAGCGTATACAATGGCTTATTGTTCAAATGAACAAAAGTCACTTATAGTTAGACATCGGTTTATTCTAGTAGAAGTGCTGCAATCTCATTAATCCTATGGAATTCTCAATGATTTAGGTGACTATTCAATTGCAAAAGTAATTCAAAGCATAAAGCTAGACTGCCTAAACTCGAACGTTTCGTTTCTTCTATCGAGAACCAACTGAAGTTCTGCTCCAAGCTCTGCTGCATGACACATCATTTGAAGTGACAAGATTTCATATTAGTGTGTTGGCTTCACATGTATAGAATCTGTCATTGTGGCCGGATACAAATTTAATCTACAATGGTCCATACACATTTAAGCCCACTGAAACTATGAACCTAGTAATTTCCAAAAATGGAACAATATCTGTGCTTTCCTTCTTCGTATGTGTGCCATTATTTAAATAAGTGCTATGCTAGAAAAGTTTACACACGCCAATCTCCTTCAAATTCCGACTTTGTCTCCGTGATGATAATGTAGCTTTAACGTGTTGGCATACTAGTCTCATGAACACGTGGTGGTCTACGTTCGACCTAAGTAGTTACACCTCGTTTAGTGTTGAGAACCAGCCATCTGTTTCTGAAATGTAAAACATTTGAATTCAACTCTGACCATGTACTAAAAATTAATTTGTAAAATAAACCAAAATCGTCTCCAATTACTGTGTATACAATCAATACTGCGAAGCGAATCTAGCGAGAGTTTTCCTAGATTTTTACCATAGAGTTTGTTTATAATCAGCAACGAAAAAAAAACAGACTTTGCACAAAACTTCCGAATCATATATTCACATAGAATAGATGTCTACAACCATGAATTAAATACGTTCCACGGAGTTTTATTCAAGCTTAACACTAACTTCTACAAGTATCTTTACTCTCCAGCTTGATTGTTTGCCGCAATAACTTCCCCATGTGCTAAGTGACGCACATTTCACTTATCAGTCCCCTTAGTTCTGAGAAGGCTTTGCAAACTACACCGATTTCTGGACGAGTTACATAGCCGAATCCGAGCTGGCTACGGACCTGACGCTACGGTCAGGGCCTCCGCCGCTGCCGGCATCACAGTCGCAAATGTTTCTTGTCGTCTTCCAACAAAATGTCGTTGCGTTTGTCTCGTACTATCCGAAAGAAAGGCGCAGCTCGAGCTGGGAAGATAAGAGGCCAGGAGAATGGAGAATGACGGTCGACCGGGGCAGAAAATCCAAATGGGATCGCTCCGAAGCAGCGAGGAGCTAGTAGTGAACGACGAGCGAGCACATTCCATTCGATTCCGTTCCCACGCCCCACAGTTTCGCTGCTTCTAACCGTTGCTGGTGGAGCTATCGGTTTGAGAGCAGTGACGTCTTGTCAGCGTACGTCAGCTCCTATTTATTTAAGACACGTGTGGCTTGGTCTTCTACTGGCTGAATTGTTGACATGTCGAAGGCGAAACTGGCTTTTCTGTTAAGACGACTTCGCTTGCTGTTTCTGGAGCTTTTGTCTCTGTTACGATATGGGCTGCCAGAGGCTACTGCTGGTACCAAAGCGAAGACCAATTCGGCGTCAATGAATAACCAAAGAAATAAGACTTAATTTACTAATAAGAACAAATCCAACAAACCCACTGCGGCACCGCTGTTTGAAACTATAAGCGATATGATCGGTAACAAAGATTGCATCGTATTTGTACGGGTTACGAATGTATTAGGGCCGGATTTTTCATCGAGGAATAAATAGTTCGAACGATTGCAGGTGAATCCTGTAAACGACTCACCCGCCCCCTTTGCTACTGACGATCGGCATTGCGTAACACAAACATGTTCAAACAAACCACCCAAAAGTACCTAGATAACAAACGCAACTTATCTCCCGAGCAAAGCTATTATATGAAAAAAAACCTTGTATATCCAAACCATCTTCAAAACTACAAGGAAAAAGGAAAGTAAACTAATCGTTATATCTCCTTCCCTGTATCAGCCGCGAGCAATAGTCTTGTCGCGCAAAACAACTATATCAGTTGAATAGAACGGACTCACAGGCTGAATCAGTTTGGCGCACGCTTACGCATGCGGCTGTCGTCAGTTGTAAATGGTGTGTTGACGTCACAGGTAGCGCACGAGTACACATTATTACCAAGCAACAAACACACAGGCACGTCGTCGTCGTCGAGCTCATCTCTCAACGTCGAAATTGTTTACAACGCCGACCTGCTGTGCACCGTGAATCATGGTATTATGCGGGAAGTCGCTCGAACAAAGCTTAGTTCTAGTTAGATGCTAGCGACCTGTCGGATAGTTGAGACGTACCGATAACAATGATATTTTTGTGTTGCTTGCACTACTATTATGTGTATTATTGTTATTAGGACTACTAAGCTAGCACATTCCGATTTTTTTCGTAGTGTTTGAGTGCGTATGTGATGACAGTTTGCCAAAAAATGATTCAGCGGCAAATTCGCAGTGGAGCAAAGCAGTTCATCTGGGTTTAGAGCGTTTTCAACATTGCAAATGCACTTCGACACTTAAGGCGAGCACATTGCGTGTGAGAATTGACGACGGTTGCGTTCGCCTATCGGAATATTAAACTCGTATTTCGTACGATGGGTGGAATGAGCATAGAATTGATACATTGGTTGAGCGCAGTATTTGAGGATCGATAAACTTTTTTGCCGCTTGGAAAACACGTAGATAGAGTATCAACCTATTTTAAGGCCTATATGATGCAATGAGTAAACTAATTGACGGAATTTACACCGATTGCGTTTAGTTAGCTTAAGCCAAGTCCAAATTTTATTGCGTTAATCCTTGCAGAAATGACGGCTTCACCATTTTAGATGGTCGTTAATGCATAGGTCGTCTCTCAACGATAAAGTCTTGAGCCAGTTTGGGTCACGTAGTAGCGGTTGAGTATGCATATTGTTTGATACGGAATTACCAGTAAGCTTCCGGGAAACATATCCATATCACAATACTATTACGTGTAGACAGCGAAACATTAGTTATGTCTCATTCTAAGCTCGCATACTAGTTTGGTTTTTCTCATTAAAACCAACGGTTTCATCGCGCTCAATCCGAATGGTGAGCGACTAAGGCTAGGCGTATTCTGAGCGTTATAGTTCTACTCCCAGTCAACTCTTTAGCTATAGAAGGAGGAAACGGGCCTAACAACGCGTTAGTGAGGAGGCTCTTTTTTAATATTCCACGATGGCCTATGACACTATAGTATCACAGAAATAATTTTGTTTCCACTCAGTGTATTTCTTAGGCTTCGCCATTATGTTTTTCAGCCCCTTTCTTATGAAGATATTCCTTTAAGAGAAATGCTTGGCCACAAAAAAGATTGTCATCGAAAAGATCCCTATCGTATACTCTAATAATAACTGAACGAAGCCTGCTTTCTGGTTAAACTCTTACAATACGGGCTGCACAGTATGGTAACGGACTAACATTATACAAAGGTATCAGTTTAAAGGCCGGCCTTAAGTTTAGACTGTGTCCCTCCATTTTTGTATCGATATCAATAACTATCGTTTTAGTTGCAAAGGGCAGAATGCCTATATGAATTGGTATTATTCGTTAGCTGTTGTTGTCGGCATGTGTTGTTATATTCTGTTAACCTCTCTTAGAAAGTTCGAGAATTGAGGTCTCACTATGGTTTGCCCGGCCAAGTGCTTTTCCACTTTTCGTTCCCACCCTATAAACGTAGGATCGGAGTCTCTTTATACCTACAGAGTAAGCGTCTAGTCCATAAAAATGGAGCTACATTTTCTTTAGGTCTCCCAAGAGAAGATAATTGAGGGAAGTTACCCTACGGTATTCAGGACAGCTCCAAGAAAGATACGCCGCAATAAAATATCATAGGACTCAAATGCACTGTTGTATATTGCTTTACTGAAGTCTTCATTCTACAGTGCTATAAGCGCTACATTCTAGAAAAAGCCGCAACTGTTATTAAAATATGGCCGTTCTTATTTCTAGTAATCACTAAATGCTTGGATTTAGCGTATGACTAGAAGAATCAATTTTCACCATTGACCTGCCATTCTACTGGTTCACGACTCTATTTCCTAATTCAGCCGTCTAATCCAACTTGATCTTTATTCTATTGTCTTCTCATGCAAAAAGGAACCAATATTAAAAGGAATCTTAAGCTAAGACAGAGGGATTGTCTTTGAAAGGACTCTACCTGTCATGCATTTCCCCAGGGTCGTGAAAGCATCCGGCGATAATCTTACCACTCATACTACCAACGGCTTCGACGCATCTTGAGCGCGTATTGAAAGCCAGGATGACGATTCAAACGGAATCCCACATCGTTGCCTATTTAGTGTCTGTTTAGATCCGTGTGTGCGCGAGCTTTTGTGCGCGAAGAGCCTACTCCACCAAACTTCCTTC